TTTTGATCCTCTGCGGAGGGGATGGCACCCCCGCTTCGGTAGCCCGACGACCTGCGCGCGAAGTCGAGCACTTTACGGTAGCACAGTTTAACGAGGACCAATACCGCACACCCTCGGTCCCTACGCAGACTGATCTAAGTGGTCACCCACCCGCACACTGACCGTAGCCAGTGATGCTTGACTTCGGTGATCTGCTGGGAACCGTGTCTTAACGATCAGTCCACTGCGGGACAAAGGAAGAAAGGAAAAATGGAGAAAAAAAAACGACAATGAATTAATGAATCAGAGAAGTATCGGTTCACAGTGGACTGATCGTTAGGACACGGTTCCCAGCAGATCACCGAAGTCAAGCATCGCTGACTGCGGTCAGTGTGCGGGTGGGTGACCACTTGGATCAGTCTGCTTAGGGACCGAGGGTGTGCGGTATTGGTCCTCGTTAAATTGTTCTACCGTAAAGTGCTCGACTTCGCGTGCAGGTCGTTGGGCTACCGAAGCGGGGTGCCATCCCCTCTGCAAAGGATCAAAACAGCAGAGAAGTATCGAATCAGAAAATAGAGAATAATGATATAATTTGAAAGCAGAAAATTGAATTTTACATTCGGTTTTTAAATAAATTGGTAAGTAGTTGAGAAGAGAGCGGTTGATGTATCAAAATCTACTTTTCCATATTTAAATTGAAATAGAGCAACACATATGCTCAAGATTGTATTCGAGACATTACTAACCATGATATCCTAGTCGTTGTCAACAACACATTGTGGCTGTAGAGTGATGTTAGCAATCAAATCATTTTTAATATCAAATCAAACTAATAAAATAGGATATAGTGAGATTTAAAAGCAATAAAAATATATTAAAATGAAAATTTTTAGGCTATTTCAAGGGGGAGGGAAGCTCAATTTTTTGCTGCAAAAATTTTCAACATTTTTAATTGCACTTTAGCAAAACCGAAAACTTTAATGTAATTCCCACAGCAATTAAAATAATCATAGATCTTAAATAATTATATACGCATAAATAGACTCTTTCACATTGTATCTTTCGAGTAAATTTAAAAATTTTAGTTTCGAAACATAGGGGAGTGTTGACATCGACTTAGAGTAGACAAATGGAATATTTCTGATATTTTAACAATCAAAAATTATCTGTTTTTGCAAGAAGGAAAAACTGTGTAACACTTTCATGTGTAGTTAACAAGACAAAACACTAAATTGCTGAATGGCAAAAAAAAATTAAAAATAAATAAGTAAATAAAAAGTTTTTATGGTGGAAAAGTGACTTTTTGATTTTTACTTTATTTTCAATTTTGAACTTTTTATTCAGCATCGTTATTTTTACATATTTTAATAATCACATTTGAATTGTCGTTTTTAAATTAATTAACAATGAGTTTAAACGAATTAATGACTGCACAAGACAAATGTGTACACATGAATGAGGGGTTGCTGTGGAAACGTTATTGTCAAAATAGTATTTTAGCGGTAGTAAATATACATTAATTCTAGCAAGAATTTCCTTTCTTTACTAATACAATTTCAAGAGGTTTCAAGAGTTCTGGAAAGGTACTATTCTCACACAAATATATTTTCTTTACAGAAGAACGTAAAGTGGTGTCCCGCAGTGGACTGATCGTTAAGACACGGTTCCCAGCAGATCACCGAAGTCAAGCATCACTGGCTGCGATCAGTGGTGACGACTTGGATTATTCTGCGTAGGGACCGAGGGTGTGCGGTATTGGTCCTCGTTAAACTGTGCTACCGTAAAGTGCTCGACTTCGCGAGCAGGTCGTCGGGCTACCGAAGCGGGGGTGCCATCCTCTCCGCAGAGGATCAAAATTGTGATGGCATGTCTTCGGATCATCCTCCGGGATGTTTCCCAGACTGTCGCCAATAGCCCATTGTGCAGCTCTAGCGCGACGTAAATTAACAACAACAACATAAAGTGGTTGTAACAAAGTTATTAAATAATCGAACTTTGTCTTAGTTTCCTTACAAATATTACAGTTTTCTAATAACTATGCGAACACAAGTATACTGTTTACGTATTTCCCAAAGTCGAAGTTGTAAACTCTTACAATATTTTAAGTGCTAGTCTCCGGAACAAAAATGTTGAGAAACATTAGCTTGAACGTCGCAACCATGTCTACTCTTAATCTTCAGAACAGTATTTTTTCCATGGATAGTGAATTTTCAAAAATAATAATAATATTAATAATGAATAAATAAATATTTTTCATTTGCAGTATTTATATTTGACATGTCCACACACTTTGCTTAACAGAAAATGAAACCTGGTAGTTAAACGTAATGAATATCTATTAGTAAAAATAAAAATAAAAATTCCCTCAAATTTAAATTTCGATCCCTTTTCGATAAGTTGAAGTGTTCAAATTGTAACCGGTTCCCTGAACAAGATGACAACACAATTTTCAAAGCGTGGAGGTAGCGGGTTCGAATCCTGCTTTTACTCTGAATATATCTTTGTTCTGTCCCTCTCTGTATTGTCCAATCCGTCCTTCTCTTTGACAAAGGTTTATAAGCCTAAATTGAGCACACAAGCCTGCAAATATATGTATAACCAATAAACCTCTTTTTCGTCCAACCCAAACAGAAGCATGGATACTAAAAATATTCAGCAGAAAACTCCTAAATCAAGAAGAAGTGGAATTAAAAAGAAGGTAGTTTATAGTCCGGAAAATTATAACCGTTTAAAAGGCATACAAATTGTGAAACCTGTTGTCTATGGAAATTTGTCATGGAAACTTTTACCGGAACAACAAAAAGATTGTCACACTCACCAATGGATAGTTTATTTGAAAGGACATAACGACGAAGACATTTCCAAATTCGTAAAATACGTCCAATTCAAACTACACGTAAGCTACGACAATCCGATTCGAATTTGTCATAATCCTCCCTTCCAAGTGACTGAAACTGGTTGGGGAGAATTTGAAGTCGTAATTAGAATATTTTTTAAAGATGATGTTGAGAAGCCGATCACATTGTATCACTATTTGAAACTTCTTCACAAACCGGAAGAGAATCCTCATAAGCCAATAATTTCTGAGTTTTATGACGAGCTCGTCTTTACCGATCCTACGTTGATCATGTATGATTTACTGCGCTTAGAGGAATCAACTATTCCAAGTTCCAAGCAGAGATGGGTGGATCATGAAGAGAAAAAACTCATCACTCTGAGGAAAATTTTGGATGCAAAATCGAAATTGCGAAACGAAATATTGGAGTTGAAAACAAAACTCGCCAATTCGAAAGCTATAATCGAAATTCTTAAATCCCAAATCACAGCATAGAAGAGGAATCACAGCATAGAAGAGGAAAAGTAAATTGGGTTATATTTAAAAGTTATTGATACTTACTTTTTATTATTTGTAATTGACTAAAGTAATGCGTCAGTTTGAGCCTGCGGTTAATTAGTTTTCTAAAGAAAAAGTATTTTGATTGTCAAAAGAGTTTTTTTTTATTGATGCAGTGCAAATTTTGTTTATATTACTTCTTAAGGTAAATCATCATATGAATGAATTAAAAGCTTATTTTTTGACGTTTGAGTATTATTTTTTCATACCTAATTTTATTAAACATTAAAAAAACTTTTCGTCACAGTGTTTTTTTTATTGATGGTGGTACCTTTTTTCTTAAATTTTATATTTAACACGTATTAAACATTTAATTACATTTTAAATACATTCTTTTAAATGCTGGTTTATAGCTAAGAATTTTCTTTTCAAAAACTATTGTATAAACTTATGTTCTATGGTATTACAGTATAGGTCCCCTTCGTTTGACCCAAACTAGAATTAATAAAGTTAAAAAATTGGAGTAAAATATATGTATAAGAGTTAAAACTAATTAGGAGAACAGTTATGACACCAAGAAGTGGGACAAGAATTAACTGCAAATCAATTTTTTTCTGTGGAGGCGAACGATTTGCATTACATTAAGCTTACTAACGTGGAAAGAACTTTTAAAAAACAAGGAACCTCGATTCTTAAACAACAAGATTAACGGCAAATTAATTTTTTCTCTGGAGGCGAGGAACGATTTGCATTACATTAAGCTTACTAACGTGGAAAGCTCTTTTAAAAACAAGGAACATATTGCATCGATTCTTTAAAATTTTTGTTTCAATTGCTGCATATGAAAAAATACAGAAATTGGTGGTAATGGGTACAATGTTTCTGAAAAATGAAAGTTTAAAAATGCATCATATTTCAAGTTTTATAGCTCACAAACTGTTCTACCGATTTCTTTCAAAGTTTGTCATTTATTATTAAAAATTGCAGTGTTTAAAACAGTGTAAAAAATTGCAATTCAAAAAATTTTAAAATTCGAAATTTCTTCAAGATTTGAAATTTTTTTGACCATCATTAAAATAATGGTTTATAGTAGAAATATTTTAACCTTAATTAAAAATAAAATTGCACGTTAGAAATAATATTGCAATGCGCAACAAAATTTTTGGAATCATTTGCAATATCTGTCACGTTAAAAAATTTTTATATACATATAAATCCTTGAGTAAAAATAAAATAAAAAGTACAAAATATGTAAACTAAAGAAAACGAAAATACTGGGTCTGCTAACATTTTATTTAACATTAGTACGAAATAGTCTCGCTAAAAATTAAATTTAAATCATATTTTTTAAATGAAACATTTCGTTTCTTTCAGAAAGGGAAAAACAATAGAATGATAGAATTGTGTACAAATTAACTTCTAAATTTTACACAATTGTTACATACACACGGATATATATCCAGAACACTAACTTTTGCACCATGATCGAATTTTTAGAAATTAAGCGTTAATTTTGATTGTTTACAAAGTGGTGACTTCAGCTGTGCTAATTAGCACTAGCTATTAGGCTAAGAAATAAAACCTAAAATTGTACTCTTTATGAGAAAATATACCTTTTATGTTGTTGACATATTTAGATCTTTGATTATCAAAATATGGGATAACTATGGTCCTGAGAAGTTAGTCAGGAGAAAAATCAAAAATTTTAATTGTGTGCATTTCACCATAAACTGGAACATCATAAGCTAAGATTTTTTGCAGACGACTGTAACATTTGTTTAAGCAAAGACTCCGAGTAAAAATAATGAAGTATTTTTAAAAAAGTTAGAAAAAAATTTGAATTGTAGAGGAATACAAGCTTATACATAGTTTTAAACTCTGTAATTGTAAATGACCAAATTTGATTAGGTTGAATAGCACCTGAGAATTTTGAGTAATAATACGACATAATTGAACTTTTATAACTCAAAAACTATTCAACCAATTTCATTCAAATTTAATTTATTATTAAAATTTGCACTGTTTAAAATGGTGTAAATATTTGTATACCTTAAAATTTATGAAGTTTAGAATTTTATTAAATAAAGTAATAAATAACTATTAAAATTCATTTTTAACATGGAATTGAGTTTGAATAAAAGAATTTTAAAATTGTGCCTGAAACTTTTTACGCTTGAACAGCACCTCATTTGTCCAGATAGTAAAGTCTAAGTTTTCCCTCTTTTGATTGCCTGTGCCCTTAATTAAATTTAAGTTGACCTCGAGGGGTTGACAATGATAGTTATCCATATTGAGCCCGCATATAGAAAGTTTTCCATATTGACAAGTTTTAAAGCATTTTCTAGCTTTCCCAAGATTATTTCCATATTCAAATAATAATACTGGTTTATATGCAAAATTTTATCTGTAATATATATTTTTTATCTCATGGTTTGAGAGTTATTGCGCTCGTGGAGAAATTAATTATTTTAAAGATATGTATAAATTTAAAAAAATTTCAGGTGGTAACCATTTTTAATCCTCCATACTTTAAATTTAATTAATTTTCAAAACCGTAGAAACTTTTCAAAATGATTAACTATATAAAAGGTATCAATAGGCAAAAAGTAAAATTTTAATAAACTATTTTAAACAGAACTTCGCGAGTTTTTATTGTTTTTTTAAGCATTGGTGAACCAGTTTTAGAAACATGAACTAACCGAATGCTTTCTCACATTAATTTGTTCCACAGAGAAATTTTTTTTTCTTCAGGAAAGCAATGAATACTGTAATGTAATAAAATTTCGATAACTTTATTATCATTGATCATTGGTTGGAAAACTTAATTGATCATCTTTTTAAAAGTATTAGCAATATTGTTCAACAATATCTCTTGTCTTAACTAATTTAGAAAAGTAAGCATTTAAAAATGCCATATTTATAGTTTGTCTACGTCAATAACTCCCCTCGCCACAAAGTCTAGAACTGTCTGCTGCTATGGAAACAAAAATAGGGAGAGTAGCTTTTATCTCAAGTACATCTTAAAATAAAATTCATTTGCCTCATTAAAAAGTTGAGCTGGTTAAATGACAACTTTTTATTCACCTTTCAAGGACGTAAGTAAATGCATGCCCAGAAAAAATAGAAGTAAAAAACATGTTATATTACAGCAAGCGTAGAACATTTATTTGTTCTTCCAAGTCTTAGGCTGTTTTCTATAGACATTACACTATGTATAGTTTGTCTACGACAAGAACTTACCCCAACACAAAGTCTGAGGCTGTCTGTTGCTATGGAAACAAGAATAGTGCGTTTTGGAGAAGGTAACTTCTCTTCACTCTAGGGCTAACACAATCGACCGGAGAAAAATATTACTTTTCTCTCGCCGATCCGAGTCAAAACCTGTCCTAAACAATGACCCTACTTGAAATAGTTACACCTCGTAACCATTGTCTCAGCCACGGGTTCAGACAAATGGATAGGGGAGTTCTTACCTTAGACAAACTATATGTATATTTTAAAAAGACAGATCCACTTTTGCAATTAAACTCAAAATTAAAAATAAAAAAAGAGAAATATGAGAGAAATTTCAGTTTGTCAAATTAAAAGTATTTATATAAAATGTAAAAAAGAAAATGTTTTTTTAGTGTTAAAAAAAGTTAAAATACAAAAAAATAATATATAACAGATTTTTAAAAAAAAAAAAAATGGTTTGGTTTATATATATATGGCTTAAGTCATAGATTGGTTTAAACCCGCCAACTCTGCATTAAATTAATATACTTAAAATCATGAGACAAAAATTTTCTTTAATATTTATCAAATTTATTGGTATTGTACTTACATAACATAATTAATGTGTTACAAAAATGATTACACATTCATTTGAATTAATTTATTCAACAGAATATATTTCATTCATTATATTTATTCCATGGTATATATATTTTTTAAAAATTTATAAGGCAATGTACTTCTTTCTTTTCTTTTTTCTTAAAATACAAGTTTTCGAAAATATGAATATCAAGGACCCTCTGAGTGTTTGGGGGCCCCGGGCACTGCCCGGTTATGCCCATGCGTAAAGACGGTACTGTGGGAACACTTTAATCAGCCTGCGAAGGGGCCGAGGGTGTGCGGTATTGTTCCTCATTAAACTGTTCTATCGTAAAGTGCTCGACTTCGAGAGCAGGTCGTTGGGCTTCCGCTGCAGGGATGCCATCTCCTCTGCAAAGGATCAAAACTGTGATGCATGTCTTCTGATCATCCTCGGGAGGTTTCCTAGACCGTCACCGATCGGTAACTTATTTTTGTACATTCCTATTTTGCTATTCGCGATCGCAACACTCGAATACGCCATCTGGGGAGAGACCGGTTTCATGCCTTTAACCCTTCTCCTCTTTTCAGTTATATAGGAATGTACTACGATATTTTCCCTTTTCTTAATATTTTTCCTTAATAAAAATATTTCCGTGATACTTTTCTTTAGAACTATGTTTAATGTAGTTTTCAGTTCCATATAGTTTTTCAAGTTAAAAGATTTTAATCTATATGAAAATCAAGAGAGAAACTAACGTACTTCCTTCCTCTATGACTTTCCACACGCTAATGGGGAAAGCATGTGAAGTGTTGCCATAGGAGAAGACTTGAGTTCTACTTCTACTCTACGCCACCTGCAGCCCATTTCGATTGCCAATAAAGCTTGTGGGTTCCATACAGTGAACGGCTTATAAATTAGTCTAATTTATATTATTAGTCTAGATCCAATCCTACGCTTGTTACCCGCACATGTGCTTAAGTTGACCAGCGTCCTTAATAAACCATTCTAGAACTTAACCCTTTACCTTTTTAAAGAAATTATTTATTTTAAAGAATTCCTGCAAAGGATCTTTGTTTTAACAATATTGATTTTGAAAGATAAAGTTGAACCCACTATATCAGAACTTATGAGCGTTTGGCGGAACGGTGAGACCGCTCGACTTGGGATCCCGAGTTAAAATAATCGATTAAAACTTTCGAAGTTTGTAATTTTGAATCATTGTTATCGAAAAGAAAAAAATTGTTGCATAGGGAAATAGGGAATTGTTTAACAAAATTTTCCCTTTCTCTTCTGAAGAAGTTTTTCGTCGGCAGGCGGCAAAATATTATTACTTTATTTCGGGCACATCCGTATGATAATTACCAAACAATGGCGGCACCGCTGGAAAGTGTTATTCTAAAATTACTCCAGAACACAACAAATGAGGGTCAAGTTGAAGTAAGGAATCTTTATATTAAGCATATTATCATTATAAAATGTATATTCCCTACATTCCATTGAGATGTAAATACCATGTGGCTACCACGTTTCTTGAATTGCGGTACTAAATTGTACGATTTCTATTATAATTAAGATTTATTGAATAAAACGAAATCATTTAGACGTATTCTGTGAATATTTTACTGTCATTTTCTCTATTTGATTTCACATTTTTGTATAATATAAACCACTTAGATTGCTTCATTAATCATGACGTTGTCATTACCTCGAGAAATTAAATATTTAACAAACTTGTATTCCTTACTAGTTCATGATGTTAAATGCTTTAATTTATTCTCTGTAGTAAAATGTGATTATTAATAAAAGACAATTATATTTCGCTGAGACTTTTGTCAAACTAATATAATTTATAGGTATTCTATATTTTACAAAATTAATTTTCTTACTAGTTAGTTTCTGTTTCAACTGGGCGTTTTAATGGCAATTCGTGATTGTCATTTTAAGTTTAATTAAATTATCATTAATTCTTTTTTATTAATTTCAGCCATATGAAGAATATATATATTTTTATATACAATATTATAACAAAATTTTTCATAATGAAATTCTATAAAATTTAGTGTTCAGAATCTGTTTTTATTTTTGACTTGTAATTATCTAACAAATAGTAGGCTTTTATCATTAATTTCTCATCCTTTTTTAAGTTGTCAAAAAACTAGATAATGAGAGAAAATTATCCAAAGAAACAATTTTTAACAATGTATAAAGAAGTATATTAATCAGCCCAAGTGTAAGTATTTATAAAATTGTGGTACCTTTATTTTAGTTTGAGTTTTTTTGCAATTATTAATGAAGTTCATGAAAATTTTGTTATTTTATAATATTCTGTAAAAAAAAAAAACTGAAGTTTTTTTTATGTTAAAAACTATAATGGTGTGATTTAAATTTTTTCTTAATTGATTATATTAATATAGAATTTAAATTTCAAAAAGTTTGCTTTATTTTCTAATATTCTTGTTAGTTAGAAATATATTAATAATGATGATTTTAAAGTTATTCCCATCATTTGAGCACTCCAAATGTTTCAATTTATATTAACAATTTAATGTAACCAATAGCTGATCACAATTTCCTTTTTCTGACATCTTAAATTATATATATGAATTTTATAAATTTAAACCAGAACTAACAATCTTCCATTGCAAACTTTAGTGGCATAGAAAATGTTAAAAATATCAATAAATGCTTCTGTTTATCATAATATGGAATAAAAATATAAACAAAAGACAATAACTTATAAGAAGGTCAATGGAAAATAAAAATAAAATTGGAGAAAATTAATTTTCTATTAGTAGTATTTCTTTGTTATTGTCCATTATTTCTAAGGTTGGCAAGTTTTCAACAATCAATGGTTTTAACCATTATTTTATCTGTCATGTTAAAAGTCCCTTTTTGACATGTGTCAAAAACCCAAAATTTTAGTGTAAGGATAATTAATTGCAATTATAAATAAGAAGTATTTATAAATAAACTTAGATATATAATTACTAGCGATTAATCAATGATTTTCTTGATTTATTTTGATATTCAACTCTTTTTGACATTTTCTGTCAAAAACCCAAATTTTGGTGTAGGAAATCTTTAAAAATTATAAATAAAAATGCATAGAATTGAAATTTAACCAAACCATTAATTTGTTAAATTATTGAAGAGAAAAATACAAAAACAATAAGCTTAAAAAATCACTCTAGATTCATCTTATTCATTACCAAGTTCTGATAAAAATTTTACGTGCTCTTCTCATTTTGCAATTTTTAACCTCCAAATAGAAATTATTTGTTTTTATTTTTTAAAAAAAATGGTGGTAATTTAATTTTGACAGTTGTAGGGTGACCTGGGGTAATTCACGATCACTCTGTTTCTGGGGTAAATAATGATCACCTAAGTTTTATTTTAAAAAAACATTTTTTTTTAAAATTTGAGACATGGACAAGAATGCTTGTACACTTTACTAAAGTATAACTACATTTACTTAATAATAGTTTTTTGTTTAATCTAACAAAATAAGTATCTTTTAAACTGCTTTCTGTATTTTCCATTTCAAAGATGGGTTTCAAAATGTGCACATTTCTGCAAAGATCCCCCTCCTTCTCTTAATAATAAATATTTTGAGTTACTTTCTTTTTCTTTGATATAAAAGTAGTGTAAGCTTTTGTTTAATTGTTTCACATCTACTGTAAACATTATAATTGATTATAGGAAACTATATCAAATGTTGCCCCCTACAGATGGGGTAATTATTGATCACTGGGGTAATTCCTGATCATTGTCATTTCTTCTTATAAATAGTATATAAAATAGCTAATAAATAGCTAATTGTCTTTTCTTAAATAACAGTTCATATTTATTAAGTGGAACAACTATAAAATATATTTTAACTGTCATCACAAAATTTGTTTTTAACTGTATACAAGACTGTATTCTGATTTGCACCATTTCTGGTTTGTCTTACCTTGCTTCTATCTTAATTTTATGTGTGTACATTGTTAGAATAATTTTTAAGTTTATAAATTAGCCTAGTATAAATATGGTGAGAAATTATAAGCCTAAAAAGGATACTAAGCTTCTAGAAAGCAAAATTAGTGAATTTCTTTTAATGATTGAAAATTAAAATTTCAGTGTGAGAGCTGCTGCCAGTGCTGTTGACATACCTTACTTAACTTTACACTTTCCCTTCATGAAATTAAAAAATCCAGCAAAAGTAACTCATGTAGAAACTCTCTTATATTTCAGCCGAACATGAGAATGAGTTGGCTGATTGCCTAAAATGTATTGCACGATGCAAAGATTTTTGAAAATTTAAAGTGTTAATCTTTCTTCTTGCTTTTAAATAAATCATTTTATTAGCTACTTAAATATATCTCTTTGGTTTATTTGTTTGATCTTGATGTCTAATTTGTTAATTACCATTATATAATTATTTTTAAACAGCCCCTTTACAATAAAAACTGGTGATCAGTAATTACCCCAGAAGTGATCAGGAATTACCCCAGAAATGATCAAGACCAGGGGTAATTCCTGATCACTAAAAATTTAAAATATTTTAAATTCTAATTAGATTTTCAAACAAAAAAAGGTGGCATAGGACTCATCTCATATAGCGTCAAACTTCCAGTAAATATTAACATTTTATTTTGAATAGTTTTTTCACAAAATAGATGTTTGCATTTTTTGATCAGGAATTACCCCAGGTCACCCTATCTTTAAAAAAAGGGAAGCCACGGTAAAGCCATGCACACTGTTTAGAGGTACTCCTATTATGACATGACAATGCAAAGCACACTACTAAAAATTCACCGTGGCTCAGCCTGAATGAAAATTAAATGTCAGACACTGATAATTAACCTGGCATTCATAATCTTAATTGTATTTTTTCTTCCTATAAAATTTCTTTCTTATTTTGAGCCTATGTATGATCTAGTTTGAAGATATATATAACATCCACAGACGAAATTTTATAATAATTTTAATCATACTGTTTTCCAGGGCTTTCGAGAAATACAAGGTTTGTTCAAAGATCCGACAATTAATATATCCTTATGTCAATGTGTGACACAGTCTCAAGACCCTCAAGTGAGACGGTATGCTTCATTGTTGCTTCGCAGACGAGTTTTAAAGTCGAAACATTGGAAAAGGGTGCCTCCAGATGTAAAACAAGGGTAAATATATTTGTCTTATGTTTTCGTTTTATTTATTTTTTTTCTTGTATAGATTTATTACCTGTCTGCTTTTATTACACCACTACATTTAGCGTTATAATTTTAAAAATATAGTCATTTTCTTAATTATGTTTTTCAATTATCTTAAAAATATTTTTTCAACTATAAATAACTTTGGTACCAGCTTGTGTGGGAAATAAAGACAGCCTGAGTGCAATGCAGACCCCATTACCACAAACATGCCAATGCTGATGAAACTCTGAAGCTTTAACCTCCATGACCTCTCTGGTTCCCCAACAGGCTGTTGCAAGGATGCTTTCTAACCAAAATATTGTATTTAATTTTTTAAACTGAAATATAAAAAAATTTCTGTGCTAGGCAATTTATTGGTGACCCACGATGCATGTTGATAGTTTTTTATTTTTAAACTTTTTTTTTCATTTATGAATAATAATTTTTCTATAAGTTTTTCATTAACCCAGCGGTCGGCAAACTTATTAGCCAAAGAGCCAAATATGAACATTACAGCAATTTTTAAAAAAATTGGGAGCCAAATCTGCTTGTTTAGTAAACTTTTATTACACTAAATAAGTAGTATACTAAATAAAACTAAATTTCATACTTAATAAATATTTATTAATGCGAACAATGTGCTTGCATCTCCTTGGAAAGTTTGAGTAAGTCAGGTTTGTATGTTGTTGTTTTTAATTTTAGGCATGATTCCAAGTTCTCATCAATAAGACGACTTCTCAGTTTACTCTTGACAATGTTCATACTTGAAAAAGTTTCTTCGCATATATATGTAGAACCCAAAAGGGAAAGAGCACCAAACGCAAGCTTTCTCAGCTGATCGTAAGAGTAAGGAATACTATTTATTCCAAGCGTTGAAAATGATCGTGTCTTCCTTCTCCAGGTCATTCAAAGCAGACCACTTGTGCTGTGAACTAAGATGAAATTTTTTCTTCTCCAATATTTCCATTTCAACACAAAAACGTTCGAATTTAGAGAGCCATGTATCTCCTTATTTTTTAAATCCAGCAATTGTGTTTCAAAGCTACCAATGTCAATTTCAAAAGGAGAAAATTTCAACTCTGTTATCGTAGCATTAAGAGGATTTTTGACAAATGCTAAAGTTGCTCTGCTGTTTTTAAATTCCTGAAACCAGCTGAGAAATGCTTCCCTCATATTTAAAATTATTGTTTTAAAATGGTGTTTATCAATAGAGGAATTATTTTCTTGGCAATGCTTCAGCAGGCTCGGAAAGTGAAACGATGTTTCCCTTTCAAAATCCAGAGCAAAAATGGATAATTTGTTTTCGAATGTTATTACTTCTTCTAACGTCGAAAAAATTAAGTTTCCTTTCCCTTGTAGTTTACGATTAAGCTGATTTAGATGAGACGTAACGTCTACCATGAAATAGAAGAATTTTAATTTATCAAAATAAGAAGTAATTTTTTTCTTACCAAGTTTTTTTTAAAATGAAAATATTATTGCTCCTTCCGTGGATATTTGCGCCAGAGCCGCACTTAAGGAGCTAAAGAGCCACATGCGGCTCTGGAGCCGCACTTTGCCGACCACTGCATTAACCTAATATTATTATGCATAGAAGAAGAAAAAAAAGAAATGAAAATTATAAAGGTTTTATTTAGAATTAAAATATAAAACATGGCTTATATTACATATAAAAGGTTTTGAGTTAAACATATTTTTATTTTGAAATTCTTCTATAATTAATTTGGTAAGAGACTTTTTAAAAAAAAAGAGTAAATAATAAAATAAAATTGAAGTGCTCAAGGATTTTAATCTTTCACCACCTCGAGTCATTACCTCTACATTTTGAAATTATAATGTTATTTCAACCGCATTTTTATTTCATTTTTATCACTTCCCCTTTTATGCTAATTTCTGCTTTTTCATGATTTTTAACAGACTTTTGATTTTTGCATGATTTTTATTGGATTTTTACTATTATATGATCAAAAAATTTGGATATAACCAAAACAAAGTTTTGTGAATACGGTGGCCTTTCGTTACGGGATAAATAAAATTTCTTTTTTTTCTTCTCCTCGCTCTCATAAAAATATTACTAACCACCAAAGTTATCATGCACTCTCAGGGGTCTGTCTAGGTTTTTCTGACAGGTACCTATTTTGTGAAAATTTAGACGTAATTTGTGAAAAATTAAAAATTATATTAAGAAATCAACACAAAAATATGGATTTATCGTTTCTTAAGGGATACAAAAATGAAATTTTAAGAAAAAGTATTTTGTCCAAAAGTATTTTTTCCAAAATTGAATTTGTGAAACTACCGTTTTTCCTAAAGTTGAATTTGTGAAGGTACCGCTAAACGGTAGTAAATTCGGCCTGGACAGACCCGTGACTCTGTTTCAGAATGTGCAAAACTCTTACATTTTTAAAAAGAATTCTTAGGTTTGAGATAAAATTGTCATAACTAGAGCGCATCATAAAGTGACTGTTCAAAAGCGCAGATCATTAGATATGATGCAAAAGTCTATATCAATAACTGTTTAAAATACGATAGACTAAACCACGTGGACAATAAAATCGTAGCAAATCGAATGCATGAAAAAGTGATTTTTCAAAAACTCAATTCAAATTTTCTAGTTATTTTATTCAATTATAATATATAATTATGGATTCTGTTCTATATGCTTGTCAAGACGGGTCAAAAGATAGATTTTATTTTTATCTGTTAATGCAATTAAAAATGTATTTATTTAATTTTCAATTTGTTTCTTGCATAAATTGTTTATTGATTTTATTTATCAAATATTACTTTTCCTTCTCTGCAGAATGAAAGCTACTATTCTTGAGGCTTATATCAAAGATACTGAGTAAGTTACTGTTTTAGATACTGAATTATTTATTTATTAATGTTTAAAATAATAACAATTAGTCTGTTAAATTTTTAAATGCCTAAAAGAGTTTGCATCAAAAATTGGAGCATTGCTATTATCAAAAGGTATTTCAGATGAAAGCTTGTTTACAATCTTTATGTGGGTAAAAAACCAGTAATCCTTTCAGTATAAAAAATATTTTAACAATATTTCATATTATTTACTTCATATATTTTTAATAATTATAGGTAGGAAATAGTTTACATTGTATCTTGATTACATTTAACATAACATAAATTACTTCATGAGGTAGTGCTCTTATAGTTGAGAAAAATTAACTAATTTTAAAATATGTATTTGGGTTGTGCAGAAAATTTCAGTAGTATTTTTTCTTTGATTCTATCACAGGGTGTGTAGCATTTTTAAAAAATGCTTAAAGGTGCTTATTTTCGATTTTCGTTTTTTAAAAGTCCTTAAAGGTGCTTTTTCATTGGATGTTTTAAAAAGTGCTTAATTTTCCTTTTTCCAAAATGAAATTTTTCCTTTACCATGTTGATTCTCCCTACGAATTATGCAGAAGGCATTGTTCTATTCAGTGTTTTCACAATTAATTCAACCCCAATCTATTTCGGCATATCGTCAGTTCACAGCGTATTAAAATGCTATTTGATTTACATGATTACAAAAATTTTGACAATTGTCAAAAACAGTGTCGAAAGGTTATTTATAATTTTTTTTGACATGACGATTAAAACCATCAATTTTCCAATCCTACCCAATTGTGAATTTTTTAAAGTGCTTAAAAATATTATCTGAGTGCTTGAAAAGTGCTTAAAAGATGCTATCTATTGTTGAATAATTTGGCTACACACCCTGTATCAAATGCATGTTTTTTTTAACTTATCTTTTTTTATTCTTTTCATAGCAAAACTGTCAGGAATGCTTTAGCCGAATTGATAGCTGCTATTGCTAAACATGATCTCCCTACTAACCAATGGCCAGAATTGATGGCACTATTAAGCCAAAGTATCCGCAGTAACAACAATGTTGACAGAGAAGTATGTGCAATTTTTATTTTTTATCCTAGCCTAAATAAAGATAATTCTAGAACTTCCATTAAAGAGCTTCATTATTTATAACTTTTTTAATGTTTATTTTCTCTTCAGGTTGGGCTTTATTCATTGAGTGTAATTACCAAAGCATTGGGCGACAAATTAAAGCCACATTTTAAAAGTTTATTAAATTTGTTTCAAAGCACTCTTGTTGATATGTCCAGTATAGATATTCCATATTACACCATAAAGTGAGTATGATTAGTTTGATCTTAATATTTCTGTGATTTTCATGTGTTTAGTAATATATATTTTATCTTTCATGATTCTTTTTTATTTTAAATTTTTTTATAGAAAGTATTCATTTTAAATACAGTAGGGAACCGATTATCCGGAAAGATCGGGACCATCGCTATTCCGGATAACTGATTTTTCCGGTTTTCTGAATCACTACGAAAAGCCGTTTTTTTATTGTTAAACCCAACTAAAAAAAAACAATTATGATAATAATCTTAAAAAGAGGAAAAAACGATGAAGTAATACACTAATGATTATTTCCAAAGTGATGGTAAGGTAAACATCCTTCAAAAAAGAAAGAAAAATCCTAAAATCTTATGAGGAAAAAAAATATTTTTTAAAAAAATGGCGGGAAAATTTTTGCGAATTTCGTTCCGGTTTTTTGGTTTTCCGGTTTTCTGATTTCCGGATAACGGGTTCTGTACTGTACTTATATTTATTGTTTATTTATTTCTATATATGAGTTCAGTATTTTGGAAAAGAGAGCATAAATTTAAATGTAAACCTAATTTATTTCTATCATTAGATCCTTTATACAGGAATGAAATACTTCCACGAATAAGCAGAGATACGTTGCTAAAAAAATTAATTCAAGTTTGATTGGTCAAATTAAACAGTCAAACGGACTAAAACTGATAGTTACAATCTATCAGAAAATAGATGAGGTGAAAGTTATCAACTATTTTAGTTTAAAATGATTAATGATTGACTGGTAATTAATTTAAAATGGTGATTACTAACCCTTATATATTGCTTAATTTTCTCTAATATAGTAGTGGGGAAAGACGTTTAAAATTATATTAAAGAAAAATTTACATTTCACTGTCCAAATGCTTCTGCCACTTTTAATATAAATAAAAATCTCAGCAGAGTTAGAAGTTATCTTTTCATATATCTTATTGATATCACTGTATTGCATACACTCCTGGTGTCTACTTTGTAAAAGCTCAGCTTTTTATTTTTATCCCCTTTTTTCCTAGTTTATAGATTTTTTCCTTTATTCAAAATAGTTTATTAATAGGATTTAACCAAAAAATTGAAAGTTGAACTAATATTTTATTTGAAGGCATTTACCTTTAATAAAGCAAATATATCTGATATAAATATTTTTTTTTAAAGTAAAGCCTAATAAGATCAATGTAGCAATATTTTCATTTTTAAGTTTGCTATGTAATTTAAAGATTGTTTGCTATGTAATTGTAAGAAGTACAATTTAGTAAAATAAAATAAGTCATTGTGTGCTACTTTAAGTGCATATGAAATTTACTTGAGTGATTTATAATCATTGTGCTATCATGAACTCCTGGAAAATAACATTCTTATTTTTTTTAATAAAAAGTTTAAAAATTCACTAAAGAGAAGGAATATTTACTTAAAAAATGCATATTAAGTGAAGATATTTCTGATAATGATTTACTAAATATTATGTTTTGATCATTTGTGTTATCAGGGGTCTGTCCAGACATTTTGTGAAAGGTCCGTTTTTTGTGAAATTGTGAAAAAATTACTCACATTCTTTCAACCAGGGTCCGCTTTTATCAATTTGTGCAAATAGGGTCCGTTATTGCAAAAAAAACTTTTTCAAGGAGTTTTTAAATTGTAAAGACATACAAAATTATGCTCAACACTGTAAAATTATAATTAAAAAAATTAAATTTTAAAAAATAAACAACAATTGCTGCTTCTAAATTAGAGGTGCAACCTACAAATATTTGGTATTAAGCCTATACTGCTGAACGCAGAATATTAATTTCGGACGAATAATAGAAGAATCGTTTGCCGAAGACAAAACTTAATTCGTTTACATCCATCTTTCTTGTTTTCTGCCCTGGGAAGGTTTATTCGATTAACAAAATAATAATGAAGATAAACAAATTTGTGAAGGGTCCGATTAAAAGAAAAATCATTTTGTGAAGGGTCCGTTTTTAAGTTAAAATATTTTGTGAAGGGTCCGTTTTTATGAAGAGATATTTTGTGAAGGGTCCGTTAACGCACCCAAATTTCTTCTAAACAGACCCCTGGTTATATACTAGTTTTAAAAATAAACTAAGTTTCGACTAAATTTTCTGCTTAGTTACTCATTTTTATTGAATTTTATAGGTTTCTCATCCTATTAAAATCTTTCAACATTAAAACATGATACAAATTATGTGAAGTAACATACAGTTGACATAAAAATGAACATTTTATGAAAAATGTAATCTATCTTGAAATCTGTTAAAAGTTATGTTTTTTCATTTTTCGAAAATTTTCTAAGGGAAATAAATTTTTACTTCAAAATAATATGTTAAAGAAAATTTCTTTTAAAAATTATAATTAATTAGGTTTTGATTATTGTATATTCCTCTAAGTAAATTTTTAAAATAAAATATGATTAGATAAAATTCCTTGTTTGATGTACGCATTATTAAATTAGTGATATATAAATGAAGTGATATGAAATTTATATAACTATAAACACTTGCTAAAGCTATTTTTAAAAGTCCTTATTACAATAAAAAATTTTGTTACTGTTGTCCTTTTTTTATTGTACAATTCATAATGAAATTAAGATATCTTATTCTTAGCTACCTCAATTCTTATATTTGTTTCAAATTTGTTAGCCGTTGCGATTTTTTTCTTCTAAAAAATATTATTTTTAGGTGTCTTACTCACATGGTGTGTAGTATTGGTACTGAAGAATTAGTAAGTATCAGTTTTTTTTAATCATAATTTAATTCTTTCTTTTTTTGTTAAAAATTCCTAAAATTATTTTATTATGTTTGTTTAATTTATATGAATAAATTTGTCAAATGTTGTAAGTTAGGTGAAACTATAAAACCAGATTGATTGTAAAACCAGATTTAAATCTGAATAACCAGTATTTTTTAAATATAAACATAATATTAGATAACACACAGCATTAATAATTTAATTCAATAACAGTAATTATAAAATTGGATAAAATGCTGGTCTTTCAGGATACTGCTATTTCTATTACAATATATTGCTAAATGAAATTATGCTTTTGAGATCTTCTCCAACATAAGTTAATTTTTTCTTGTGTGTAAAAGATAAAGTCGAGAGTTGCTGTCTGCTTCATTGCCTTTTATGTAATTACTTTTACTTTCTTATATCTCTACTCCTGACGGGATAGGACAATTAAAAAAAAATCTGAGCAAGTTATTGTTTTATTGATAGGATAGAAGTTATCTAATTTTGTTTTTAATTTGTGTGTGCATGTTCATTTCTTTCTATCACTTTACAGTGTTTTCATCTCAGAAAAAAAATGAGTGAGAATTTCTCACCCTTTCTCAAAAACAGGGTGAGATTTCAAAAAGTTAAGTGAGATTTCAAAAATTAAAAAAAAAAAACACACAAAGTATAAAATAATTTCTTTAATTATAATGCGTTTTTAACATCCTCTAATTTTTAAAGCATTGAATATTTTTGCTGCATCATCATATGGAAAATGTTCTACATCTACTTTTTCATCAGCTGTTCTCATTAGGTTGCTCAAATGCATATTTGTTTCGTTTTGATCGTTTCTACCTACATTTGTTTCATTTTCATTTGTCCGTTTCGGAGTAGAAGATATTGGCTTTACAAGGTATTTGTCCATCTTACAATAAGGAGCAAGAACTTTGAACATCTTACATGAAGAAACACGTGGTTGCAGAGAAATGCGTTCCGAAAGAAGTTTCGTGGTTCTGAAGGATGGTGTTCTGTTGTTCTTAAAGGTTCTGAACAATACTGGTAAATAGGGAAGCTAGATAATGGGGCAGATGTTGAAAATAATAAAAGATCCAGGAAGAAAGGTGAAACTGATTTTATTCTAAATGGCGCAAATGATAAATTTTTTTCAAAATGCGAGAAATTCGCAAATTTTGAAATTGGTTTATAGAATGCGCGAATTTCTCGCGGTAATCATTTTTTAATGCGAGAATATAAAAAAATATGTGAGATTCTCGCGCTGTAGTGAAAACACTGCTTTAATTATTAGATATTCTATAAATATATATATTTTAGTTTACATTTTATCTTTTGGCTTAATTTGAAGATAAAGATCTGCTGTTTTAGTGTATAAACTAGGAAAACAACAGTTTAAAATTGTTCATTTGCTCTGTTGTACACTAAAGTTTGGGCTCTCTTAGAACAGTTGCTAAATGGAAAATCTTGTTCTTTTGCTGAAATTTTCAATAAGCATTAACGCCCCTGCATCCCTGTAAAAGGCAAAACCAATTAAATTTATTAGTAAGAGTCTTACTCTTATTATTGTTAATTTATTTTTAATAAAATTTTATTAAAAATTGTTTATTTTTAAAAAAAATTTTTTCTTTTTTTTTTTCCGTGTTGTATTGCTTGTTCCTACATCCAGCTTTAATTAGTAAATAGTAAAGTATTGTGTGGTTAAGTTAAAAATTCTAATATTTTCAAGGAAATTTTTTCAAAGTTTTACATAAGCAAATATGAATATGGAAACTGCATATGTAAACGGGAGGTTTATTTGTTGAAATCTATATATGTTTTATTTTTCAGGTTTTAAAGATCATTCTAATCAAGTTATATTTTCTCTGTTCTATATTTTTCTTTTAATAATGCTGTGTATTAATGATGGAATTCTCTTTTCTTATAGAATATTTTTCAAGCTTTAATTCCAAACATCATCAATATTATTAAAGCACTTGCTCCCATTGACCAAGTACGTAATTTTTAAGAATTATTTTTATGTTGGAAATGTGTAAATATCTCTTATACAATGTTAAATAAAATATAGTTGACACCCCTAGCCCTCAATAGGGTGTTGCGGTTCTGCTTTTTTTTTTAAAGATTTAAACTGGAAAATAATTATCTTTACTTCTACTAGAATCTACACTTTTATGTGCATTTTGTCAGAGAATCTTGATTTTCTTTTTTCTGCTATCTGAAATTGAGTGAGGGCTTTTCAATATCTTAAACACTGCATCAAATCTTACGTTATTCGGATTTGTAATTCCAAAAAACTTTAATTCATCTCCTGGTAATTTGATTTAAAAACAATTGAATTAAGGAATTCAATTATCTCAGATTTGTTAAAGATTATGAGTGAAGGGACCATATAATAATTTACTTGTTACAAAAATGTTTAGCTTCAATATTCATTGCATTTCAAAGTCATTGAAATTTTTTAAATCATTTCATTAAAGAAATACTAAACCAGGTATCAAATTTTAATAAAAATTTAATCGGAATCATTCACTTATTTACATTAGTAATATGAATTTATTAAAGTTTTCTTAGTCTGCTTAATTTGCATATTTTTATAAATTCAGTATGATCAATAGTATTCAATAATTTTTTCAATATTCAATATATTTTTTGTTAAATATGTGTTTATAAATAACTTTTATTTAAATCTGAAAAATATACTCATTAACTTTTTTAAATATTAAACTAATTATAATTTTGGATTAAATTAAATTTTTTTACATAGTTAAGCATAGTAATTATTTATTCAAAAATAGAATGGGCCACTCAACATGGAATATTTTAAATTGAGCATAAATTGTTTATATGGTAGTTAATATAATCAAGAAAAAAGTTCTTTATCAGAAACTAGTTATTTTATCATAATCGTATAAAATCTTTGAAAATTATTTTGATTACATATATATNATATATATATATAGGAACTTTTAAATAATAAAAAAAAATTTTATTAGTGGGCTAATCGTAATTATGATATTTGTATTTTTAAAAAACTTGCCTAAAATATTTTTGAGTGCTTAAAAAGTGCTTATTTTTTGTTAAAAATATGGCTACGCTTCCTGTACCTTATTTTTTGCCAAGAATTCCCCTTAGCTGAAATTTATGTAGCTAACCATTCTTTTAATAGAATTTATTATCCATAATATTGAATGTAATATTGCTACTTAGCTTTTTATTTATGAATTAGCATTGCAAGTTACTAATGTAGATTATATATAATTTTTTTTTTTAGGCCAAGGCTTGTGAAAGTCTTGAAATATTTGATGAACTGCTTGAATCTGAAGTTGCTGTTCTACAGCCTCATCTGAAAGGCTTGGTTGAATTGTGTCTTATGGTAAGATACTTTCATTGGTCTATTGCAGTAAAATATGACTAACAATATTAGTAAACTTTGACTAATCCTTTTATTTTTTATTGTCTGTCTTTTCTGTTAAGTATAAATTATTTTAATTTTCACTTAACAGAAAATGTAAAAAATTTTTTTTTAATGTTTTACATTTTAGAGGTGTTATTCACAATCTGTGATAATTAGCTGTGAAATAACAATTAACGGTTATATTGAAATTTAATGGTCACTATCTACAGCATACCTGCCAACAGATGTTTATTACCTTTAAAATGTATGAATTAAGCCTTTTTTTCTTACTCAGGTGTGTTTTTTGTTATGCATTTTCTCGAGTTCAATGGAAGAAATTATCTTTTCGATAAGGAAGAGATTTCACTGATTGAACTTGAGAAAATGCATAACCTATTGAAATTATATGCTTTTTTACCTATAATTTTTCTTTTTACAAGGATTAATTATTGACCATAATGCTATAACCCACCTCTAAAATATAAATCACAAATTCAATACGAATAGCAATAAAATAAAATTTTGTAATTGATGTTCTAAGTTATGAAATCTGTTTGTAATATCTTTTGTATCAATATTTTCAAAGAAAACTGGAGAATTGAGGTCTTTATTTTGGCCAAAGATTTATTTTGATATTGTTCAATGCAAATTAATAGTTAAATTCAACTAAAATATTTTATTCAACTATGAAAGAATATTATTGATATCCTTAGTAGTTTCTGAATTGTTGTATAAAATTAAAACCTTATTTGTTTCATTAAGTAGCTTTGATAGTTTACATTTCTTGAATTTTGTTTGAAAATAATTGACTTTGTTTTGCAGATTGCATCAACTGACAAATTTGATGCCGATTTAAGAATAAAAGCTGTGCACATAATATCGTATTTAATCAAGCTGAAGAAGAAGGTAGTTCACTTAACTTTAATTAAAATTTTAAAGAATTGAGAACAAAATAAAACAAAGTTTTTCCTAATTATAGCTCCTTTTCTTTCCAGTCTATTATCAAACAAAGATTAGCTCAACCAATGCTTGAAGTTCTTTTTCCATTAATGTGTCAACCATGTCCTGGTGACACTGATGATGTTGATTATGAAGAATTGGAAATTTCGCTTCCTTCTGCTGCTGGTCAGGTTTGTATATAGCCTTTTTTTACCCATTGTCAAAATGGGTCTTGTTTTGGGTTTGATGGCATACACACTTTATTCGGACATCATCACACTTTTCAGCTGTGTTCAAGAGTAATAGTAAACAGTGTGCATGCGTTGCTATGGCGACTGCTGCTGTTCGATAATTTTTTTAGGATTCCTATTTTCTTTTTATTTTCCCCAGCAGTCATTCTAAATGTATTTACATAATATTAATTTAAAGTATTTTTATTATTAACTTATAATTACTGTCTTGAAAGTGATTTTAATATAAATATGAATACTGAAGATAGAAAAGTATTTTGTGACGTTTTGAAACACGTATGTAGCCAGGGTTTGAAAACCAATCCGACGACTAACAACAATTGAGACAGTTTTTGCAACCCATGATTTGAAATGTTTTGGTGTTTATCGGAGTCAAATTAGAAAAAAAAAAATAAGCATTTGACCAATGGGTAGCCAGTGATAGTAATGAAGCAATCACAATTTTTTTTTGTTGAAATTTTTAATACATGTTATTGTTATTTTATTTATTTATTTTTTGTAAAGGTTTTATTTCCTTAATTAAGTTTCATTGACATTTGCTAGAATGTTAAGACTTGGGTTCTTGACTTATTGTCGAAATTATATTAAATATTAAAACTGATTTTCTATTACCTGAATTGATTAATTTTGACATTTAAAACTATTGAGATATTTTATCTTACAGTGACTTGTCCCATCAAAAACTCTTAACCAAATATTAGCTGTGAAAAACATCACTATTTACATTTATGTTTATTTTGAAATATTGTTATAAACTTTTAAAATTCCATTTCCTTCATTTCTTGCCATTTTTGTTACAAAAATATACTGTCTTAAAAATGTTCACTAAACATTTTTTTTTTTCTTTTTGAATAATTTTAAATCCAATATCATTGCTAACATATTCTGTTTATAGTTCCAAGGTTTTAACTACTTGTGTATTGTGGTAAAACTTATGAAGAACCTCTCATATTTTTTCTCTTGATTGCTTATCTCCATATTATTTTTAAACATATTGAATTGTGGAGGCATTTTTAAAAAAAATTTAAGGTATTTAAAAATATTACAAATTGTTTATTTTTTGACAACTTCAATAAAATAAAAGTTAAAGGAGTTTTTAAAACATCCCTCAATAAAATCTAGTTATGCTCAAAATGACTGAGTTTATATAGGTTTTTTGTCATTAAACCAACAATTTATTTAAAACTCTTCATCCATTCTTATTCAACCAACTATCTCGTGTAAGAAAAAAAGTTATCCTAATGATTATATTTTTAATAAATAACTTATATTTTCTATCTCTATTTCTTGTTTAAGTCCTTTCTAAAAATAGGGCTGTAAAATTCCTTGTTTTCCGAAGTACCAAAATAAATCTTCGCACAATAAATGAAAAGTTTCCTTTATTATGTGACTTCTATTTACTGATTTATTCTTATCATTATTTTTGCAAATTTAGACTTTAAATATGTCTTATAATCAAACCTGGGCCACTTTGTGAATAGGTATTCAGAACTGAGTTACGTTAATTTTTTCCTTCGTTAAATTGAATTATTCATTTTGGAGCATTTGTTATTGTTATGCTTCTATGTAAATAAGTTCAGGGATTAGGATAGTCTTCATTACTTCATCAAGAATTTCATAATGTTAGTATTTATCATAACAAGATCTGATTTGATGATTAATTTGTTGTCATAACAACAGCTGTTGCTGTCTTTTTAACCATTGAATGTAAATGAAAATCGTTTAACACTAAGAAAAACTTTAAGCTCTCAGCTGATTTTGGATTATCTACCGATTTCTTTATTACAATTTATTACTTTTTATTTTGAATTTATTTATTAATTCTGCATAATTATTTTAGGCTCTTGATATAATGGCTTTACATTTGCCTCCAACTAAGTTAATGCCTTTGATAGTAAGTACATATTCTTGTTTATAAATATTATAGTTGTGTTATATGTTGAATAGTTATAAATATCATTTAGTGTTTGATGTAATATCTTATAAAATGTATAACTGAGAAATATTAGTTTTAATTAGCTATTGTTTGTTAGAATTTAAAGCATTTAATAATTCTTTATTTTTAAATTTGTTTTAACTAATACTCATATATAAGTTAAAGTTCAAGGCTTTTTCATAAACTATTTTTCCTTTAAATTAAGCATGGTAGTTAAAAAATTTAATTTGTTTATAATTTTTTTTCTGCTGATAAAATATATTGTAGTATAAATACAGTTGGATCTATTAGATCCGATGTTTCAGTCTTCATTATATTAATTTTAATTCATTTGTTATCACTGTATATCGAAATGTCGAGGTAAAGTAAAAAATGGAAATGGACACCCTAAGTAACTTCTGATAGAATGATAAGATCTTTCCGTTCTAGGAAACAATCTTAATGGTTTGATGGCATGACCTCAACTATGCTAATTAATTAGTGGAGATTATATTTTAAGTTATAAAATCAGTCACAATAATGTACTTACTCTGAATAAATGTACCTTTATTTTCAATGGATTTGGATTTCTGACCCTCAAAGTGAAGGGGTAGTCGTAATTTGGGAAATATGTTCTTAATAGTTTTGGTCTAGAGAGTGATCCAGATATTGGACCAGACCCTTTAATGTTAAAATTTTTTTGTTGTAAATATCACCGTATCTTGAAAACTAGTTAAGCGAATTTAAAAAATTTTGTACACAATTCTAAAATTTGTTTATCTGAAAAAAATTTTGTACATTATGATTCAAAATTATTTTGACTATTATTAAATAAAGTAATAAATATTTACTAAAAGTTATATTTTGCATGGAATTATCTTTAGATAAACTAGTTTTAAAATTATGTGCAAAATTTTTTCAATTTGCTTTATAAGTTCTCAAAATATGTGGAAATACTCAAAAAAATAAATTAACATTAAAATGTCCAAACTTTAAACCACTCTTCTGACTGAACTATAGGGAACATATTTCCTAGGTTTCTATTAACCCCCCCCCCCCCCCCCCCCCNCCCCCCCCCCCGCCATATTTTGAGAGTTAGTAATTCGAATCTCTTTAAAAATGTTATGTACACTCAGACAATTCATTTTTGTGTATGATTTCAAAACTTAAAACATCGTCCACTCTAATTAATTAGCATGTTTGAGGTCACCACTTCAAACTATTATTAGATCAAAAGTTATTCTGTGTGGTCTATTTCTTATTTAGCACACTGTATAATAGGATAGTGTTTTAGAAAAGGTGTATAATTCATAAAAAAGTAGTTTTTTGAGGATAAGAAGTAGTTTAGCTGAAAAGTATGGCATATTGCCTGCTTTTCAGTTAAGTAAAGACAAAGAAGAATGTTTTAAGACCTCTAACAAAGGCATTCTTAACATGAAATCTATCATTAATTAGGCTTAAAAAGACTTTAAAATTTTTTTTTTGTAAATATATTAATTTTAAGCACATTCATAGTTATCTTTAAACTAAACTATATTTAAAAAAATAATTATAGTCTTTGGCTAATTAAACATTTTCTGGTTCGTTTTCAATTAAAAAGAGTTTACTGTACTATATGTTGATTTTCGTGTAATTTATTTATGCCCTTAATATTTAAAATGTCAAAGTATTAATAATTTTTTCTTCTTTCTAAATTGAAATAGATGCAATACGTAAAACCTGCCTTTGGACACCCGAACCCTCATCACAGGAAAGCAGCTTTCCTTGCACTATCTGTTATTGCTGAAGGTTGTTCAGAATACATTAGAGAAAAGTATTGCTTTTTTTTAAAAACAATTTTTGATTTTACAATTTTTGCTTGTGTCTCTTAAATATTTCTCATTAAGGATGTAACCATTATTTGGTCTATTCAGATCATTTAACAAATATTTTATTTTCCTAATGTTTCGCCAAATATTCAATTGAGCATTCAGCAAAGTAATTTTTTTTTTTTAAATTTGAATAGATTGAATAAGGATTAATCTAAATTATTTTATATTCTTCATTATTTAAAACAGTTTTTACATATGCTTGTTAAGTTCTAAAGTTAAGTTTTTCTTTTATCTAAGTATAGAAACTAATCTAATTTCTTCCTTGATCTAAGTTTATTTACAGCTATTACAAGTGTTCTATGTGTGATCCCTTGGTCACACTGCATACAGTTCCTGCTAGACTCAATTCAGCATATTATCAACAGTTTTCATTGCGTTTGTGATCTTTCAAAAAGTTCTGCTAAATCATAGGGTAAAGAGGGTTAAAAAAAGAAAAGTCTTTTTACATAGCATAGACCTGCTGTCATTGTGTCAATTTAGACTGTTGAATGGAGTTCTGCAGCAACTAGTGTTGTATGTCTTGGGCCAGGGGTTCATATATGAAAATTAAAATAATTTTAAATTGAAACTTAACTATTAATGTGTTTAGAGCAGGTGTTTAGTTTTGCTTTTTATTACAGCTTAAAATCCCCGTAGAGAGTTAAAATTGAAAAAAAAAAAATCTTTGAAGGAAAATTATTTATTCAAAAATGGACTGAAAACCTTTTACAAAATTAACAATTTGATTACTTTTGTGGTAAAGCACTGTTAATTAGTTAATTTCGAACCCATCTTGACTTAATGCTATTTATTATGATAAATGCCTAAAAACTTACTGATTTTTTGTAAAATTAAATTGAAAAGTTAAATAGTCATATCCTTGTTAAAAATTAAATGATTAAAGTAAGAGACCGAACCCTTTTAATTCAGTATAAAAAATGAGAATTTCAAACTAAGTCATCTAAACTTGTATTTATTTATTTTCTTTTAGCAACCGGAAGCGTATAGCTTTACATGATTTCCACAGTTTTTAAAGTGGTTTCAATAGTAATTGCTTTTATGTTGCAATGTTTTGCAGTTTTCCTATTTTTCATAATATAATTTTTGAAAGAAAATTATTCAGATATTGGAACTTATTCATTTGCTTTCTATCTTATTAAGGAAAATTTTTTGTAAATATCAAACTTTTGTTTTAAAATTTAAATGCAATAATTTAGGTATCTGCCAAGTTTTCTACCAATAATTGAGCAAGGAGTAAAAGATCCAGACTCGTGTGTTTGCAATAGTGCTCTTTATGCTATTGGACAGTATGCTGAATATTTACAGGTTAGGTATAGTCTTGAAACTTTCATTTTATTTCACACACTTGAACTCTTTCTTACTCTCTGTCATTGCATTATATAATTCCCAGTAGTAAAAAATATGAATTTGAAATTGCCAGTTTTAAATATATATCAACTTAAATATTTGTTTTGGATTTTTTACGCTCTGTTGATCAACATCAGAATGCTCCAACCCACTGATGTTAGTTTAGTATTCATAATTTTATTTTTCCATTAGTGCATAATGTAGCGTTTAAGGAGATAATATTGTTTTTATGATAATTTTTTTTCCCCAATTCCCTCCTGGATATTGACATTCCTTATTTGGGCATCAGAAGAGCAGATTTGTTGACCACTCTTTCAGGGGCACCATATTAGATGGGCCAACATTGCTCCCACAGTAAGAAGGGTAAATAGTACAGAAAAGAGAATGAAAAAACGTCCATGTGTTGTCCAGGATTCGAACCCAGAATGTGACCACCATACAGTCCGGTCAGCCATGGTGTTAATGTAATATTTTGTTATCGCATATTGTTAGCCTTAGCGCTTAATACACTCGCCTTTTAATTGAATAACTTGCTTAATCGAATAGAGTTAGCTGGAACTAATGGTATTCCTTTAAGCAGGGTTGACTGTATATATATTTTCACGGCATTGATTTTTGTTTTATACATAATTTTTAAATATATATGTATATTATTTAAGAGTCAGTTGTACCACTCATTCCAGGTTTTGTATTTTTCCAGATTAAAAAAAAAAATAATTCTTTTCATATTTTTAGTTTTTTGTCTTATTTATCCTATATTTAGAGTTTTGTGTTTTCTAAAAATCCCCTTTTCTAAGAAAAACAAATGCAGATTTTTAAAAGTAGATTTGAAGAATCGAAGGATTTGAATTCTTAATCCCATATATTCATTTTAATAATGCTAATAGAAACTGCAAAATTTGATAGTTTCAATTTAGGGATTACATAGGGGAGCATGGAATTAACTGGTATCTTGACTGGGTATCTTGCTTGTGTCGAAATTAGATCTATTTTTTTCTAGTCAAACTATTGATTTCACTAGTCAGGAAAAAAGAGCTACCATATTGGCTTGTTGATTAATTCATGGCGTTTGTGAAAATAAATTTGGTTTACCATATCAACACTCTGTTCTTTTGTTTTTAAGCATGTCTTATTTATTGGTCATTGCAGTTACGAAAATTATTTCTGGTGTAATTTATACATTGACTAAATATTCATACCTTAACAAACAATAAAGATTTAGTCCAATGATAACACCGTTCTGTTATGTTTCGGTAACCTCTGTCCTCAAGGTAACACTGGGTACTACCCAATTTTGTCCCAGCCCTTTGAAAGGTTCCGTACAACAGAGAAGTGTAAAAAATAACCACTGCCATGGCTGAACAAAGGTTCTTTTGGGATCCAGAGCAAAATTTATTATGGGCTCCTTCTGCCTAACAAAGAGCTATATTTTTATATTTTATTTAAACAAAATTGTAGTTTTTATATGGATATAAAGAAATTCTATGAATTTTCCTTTTTTTAAAAAACTTTTTAAACAAACAATATGTTTTGTAAACAATTTTTGGCAGAGTCCTCATCAGTCCCAAACCCCTTCTCATGAGTACAGTCTTGACTAAATCACATGTGAATTACATGAATAAATTTCTTACTTTGTCATATAACGTAGAAATGTCTAACTTTTTCCCTAAGATTTTATTAATTCTAAATTTCCAATTGAGTTAGAGTGTGTACACGGTCTTATGAATGGGTTATTTGACTTTTTCTAGAAAAGAAACTCATTTATTTAAGAAGTATTACATCAATGAATTTTCTAGAATGATATATTGAGCATAGCTGAGGAGATGGAATTTTGTAGTTTAACAATTATTATTGATTCATCTCTTTCTTGTGGTTTTAAAAATGGTAGATCCTAATCAACAATGCAATAATGTACTAGAATTTTTTAATTGTGACTTGAGGGATCATCCACGTAAATTTTTCTTGTTCAAAAATTTAAAGCGACATATTCATTGTGTTTTTATTTAAAGATTATTGAAACCTTACTTTAAAATTAAGAAAATCTTGAACTAGGCTACGAATTTCAATTATATATTTGTATGAGGAAATATTAACTAATTAATAAAAAATTTTTTTAATGCAATAGTCATATAAAATTTTTCCATGTATTGAGTTGAAATTGGAATGAGTTGTGAAGTATTGATAAAATTATTCTATAAACTATTAAAACATTTGATTATATTATTTAAGTACTATTTGATTATACTAATAAAACTATTTTATTATATTGTTTAAATAGCTCTTTATATAATTATGAAATTAAGTTTTGCTATATTCCTTTAAGTAAGACTTTGAAGAACTACAGTTATTTTTTTAAAAAAAAAAAAAAAAAAAAAAAACATTGAAATTTATTTTCTTCAAAATTTTTAATTGTTAATTTTCAGTTTTTACTTTATTAAAAATTACATGAAATGGCTTGGAAATTGATGCTACTATTTTTGCTAGATTATAATTATAAACTGCTTAAAAATTTATTTATTTCTTCCAGTAACTTGTTTCTTCTTGATAACAAGCTTCTTCCATTTCATTCAGTAGGGTTGGGAAAAACCTACTTTTATTGGGTTGATTTTTTTCTGTGGCTATGCCCACTTAAATTAATTTGCTCTTACTGGTATAAAATATTGTGATGCATTTGTAAAATATTTATTTTCTAGATGTCAAAAAAATTTTATTTCCATTTTCAGCCTGATATAAGTAAATTTGCCCCTCAAATATTGCCAGTTTTATTCGAATTCCTGCAACAAACATGTGTTCTGTTACAACAAGGTCATAAAAAGCCACCTAGTTTAGTGAGGACTTTTTATGCTGTTGAGAGGTTTTGTGAAAATTTAGGTATGTATGGTGTATCTATGTAAATTACATAACATAATTCTTTAGTGTGATTCTTTTGTTTCATGTTTTTATGTATTTTGCTTGTGCATATCACTTATAAGCTTTAGTGATTCAAGTTTCTGTTCCATTCTCTTTTTATGCTTTAGCATCTTGGGAAGAGACAATTAGATATGTGTGATTTAAATAATTCAAAACTTCTGTCTTCACATTCTTACAACGTTTTAAATACAGTGTTACAGCTCAATGAAATATAAACACACCTACAATCCAACAGTTTTTGGTTGACTTTAGATTTTTGGTGTATCTCCTGCCTTCAAATAAAGTTGAAAATCTCTCGGACTTCAATCGATTGGAACTGAAGATTTATTAATTTTTCTGTCCTCCAAGGAAATGTTATTTTTTAAATTTACTTTTCTGCTAATTTCTGCACTGATGACTTGAACCTATTATCTTTGCGTTTCTGAAAACTGATAGTGTTACTGAACTGTTTATTTGTAGATCCAGGCTACAATGCTTAAACTGGAAGATCATTTCATTTCATACAGTCATTCTATATATAAAGGGAGAAGGATATAAAAGGAATGAAGAAACTTAAAAAATGTTAATGCTAACATTAATAAGTATTAATGAATATTTGATATCTCCTGAACTCCTAAAATATGGGCATATTTGCATTTTTGTATGCTGAATGTAGAAATCTATTTTATTTAAAACAACAGCTCACTATATGTGCTCTGATGAGTTATAATTAATGTATGTTAATTATTTCAAAAAGTAAAAATAGTTTTTTTTTTTTTTTTTTAAATTTCTTATTTAATAACTGTTACTTAAATTTATAAAATTTACTAAAAAGGAAATTTGCCACAAAAACATTATAAAAACAAACAATGCATTTAAAAGAAAACTTACTAACGTATTTATGTATTATGTATTTATCTATGTATTTATTTATGTATTATGTATTTATCTATGTATTTATTTATGTCTTATGTATTTATTAATAATGTATTTATTTATTTTTTTATACTATTTCAGAAGATATAAAGCCTTACTTACCTAACTTAATGCACTGCTTAACTACTTTCCTTACCATCAACACAGAAAATTCTGTCACTGTCAAAGAACTGGCAGTAGAATCTATTGGCTCTGTAGGTAAGTTGTTATGGTTGTGTTTATATTTTTCTATTAGTTGTTAGTTGGTATTATATTTTTATGTATAGCATAACACTTTCCACCTAGCCTGCCTAATTCGATACACATAATTTTTGCTGTCTCTTTGTGTCAAAAATCCATGTCCTACTTTATATAATGTTACATATCCATAATCATCGTTAGATGCATTGATTCCGCCCATGCATTATAGTGCGTCAAATACACTAAACATCGTGGAGGGGACACAAAAATTAAGTTATGGCACATATGGATGCGTAAATCTCCACGGAAAAAAGTATTGTGCCAGCAAAATTGCTCAGCCAAAACCGTAACTATACTTGAGTTATATTTATAAAAAACTCATTTTTTATTGATGAAATAAATAAATAGAATGAGAAACTAGAATAGTTTTGAGGATCATATTACGGTGTTGCATTTCTTTGATGTGGCTGATGGATTATTCCTAATAAAAACTTTAATAGCTCAGATATTAATCTACTTTTGCTTCGAAATTCTTTATTTTGTTTATTTACATTTAATAGCTAAAAATTTGTAAATAAATTAATGAATAATTAGGTAGATAATTTGTACAGGGTTCCTACGGGTCAGGGAAAACCTGGAATTGTCAGGGAATTTTATTTAAACTCCAAAAATCAGAGAAAGTTGCATTTTTTTTTTACAAAAACCTGGAATATTCCTATATCATACCTGGAAAACAACTTGTCTTAAAATTGTCAGCAACAGTAATCAGTTATTGAGATTAGTTAAATATATCTTACATGGTATCAATTTTCATTGAAATTTACCTGGTATACCTGGAAAAGTCGGATTTTTTTTCTGCAAATTGAGTGGAAACCTGTTTGTATTTTTAATTAGATAACCACTTATAGTAAAAAAATGATCCCTGAAATGTGAAAATCTTTTGTTGGAAGGCAGGGTTGGCAGGTTTTTGACATGTGACAGTTTTTGACAGTTTAAACCATGGTTTAAACCGTCACGTCAAAAACCTCACTGTCAAAAATGTCAAAAACCTATATTCATATGTGAATTTTAATTAATGCATAAAATTTATATATTTTTTAAAGGATAGTGTTTCTAAATATGTTCTAGAAAAAATAAATTTAAAATTTTGAGGAAACACTTATATTTTAAATAGTAACCAAAATCTTGTACTTTTGAAAACTCACATCTTTTGTAATATTATGTATTCATTTTCATGTGTTATTGAAAATCTGCAGTGATATTATTAAGAAATTTATTTATAACCAAATTTAGTGTATAGTATAGATTATACTAAAAATTAGACATTTTTAAAGATAAACATTAGCAGTTTTGTACATTAGACATCTTCTTTTAAAGAAAAATCTTTTTAATATTCTTTTAAATCTTCTTAATAATCTTTTTAACATAAGACAATACAAATTTAAGTGCTTTCTGTTAAATACACAGAGTAGTTAGTGTCGATTTACAGTATATTCAGCCTATTCATTTACTATGCTGAAAATTTAGTTTATCCAAATACTTGTGAATTTCATTTTGCTGAATACTATATAGTTTTGTTGAATATCTAAATATTCAGCTGTTGAATAATTACTTCTTGCTTTCAAGATATGCATTATTTGTATTCTTAATACAAGTGGAGAAAAAAAAATTAAGAGATAAAAATTGTTTTAAAATGATAAGTGTAATAATTATAAATAAATATAATAAACAATATGAATTATATTTATCATTATTCATAAATATAACTACTTTTAAATTCAAATTAACATACTGGATAATAAAGATATTCGGTATAACATTAAAATTTTTTTTCATACACTTGTATCAAGTTTGTATTTATACAACATAACTTGTAAGTTCCTTATAAATATTAGTTATATGTTCCTTATATGTCAAAAATGCATAGTAATAAACTTTTAATTTTCTTAAGTATCAAAAAAAAAATTTTTTTTTTAAATATAAATATTTAAACAATTTTTGTGCAAAATTTTTCTGCACATGCATTTGAATATAAATTTCTGAGATTTTAAATCTGTTATTTTACCTTAATTTTAATTAAAAAATATTTTAAAACCTGCTGATTACCTATAGTATAATTAAATTTCAATATAATGCATGGCAACTGTTGGTAGTTTTGAAGTTTATATATTTTCTTGGCAAACTTCAGTTTTTGACATTTTTGACGGTTTAAACCAGTATTATACCCTTGTCATGTCAAAAACCACTTTTTGACGTCAAAAACCCAACCCTGTTGGAAGGGCCTGCAGTTTCGAAAGTTAAGCAATCTAGATCAGCTGTTCTTAAATCTCTTTGGCTGTGGAACCCTAAATAATCGACTTTCTTTTGGTGGAACCCCGAGACATCAATAAATTTCATCAGCAATTAATAACAAAAGATTAATCATTGTGAAAATATGTAATGATCTAAATTTTATTAATTTTTTTGAAAATATTTAGGGAATAAATGATGAATGATATATTTTCATCTTATCAATATCTGTTATATAATTGGGTTTTATGTCAGACATTTGAATTCACAGGTCTAGAGCAGCATCTAGTTTAGTTCTTAATTTGATTTTAGTGCATGTATAAAGTGAAAATGAATGATTTGAAGTATCCATTATTGAATGGTTTCTGTTAAATAAAAATTAAGAAAGAAAATAAAGGTTGAGAATACTTAGCAGAAAACGTACTTCTTTATTGTTGAATTTGGTTATTTTTATTTGATGCAAATAATTAATGGAAGAGAATAGTTAGCAGATAACGTACTTCTTTATTGTTGAATTTGGTTATTTTTATTTGATGCAAATAATTAATGGAATTTTTTACAAATGCATATTCTTTTAATAATTCATTCATTATATTACTGTTACAAAAAAACTTGTTTTGAAATTTCTTTCATCGCTAGCATTTCTATTAAATAATTTCATAAAAATAACAGAAATATTAAATAAGTTGTGAATATTTATAAACTTTATTTAATGTACATGATTCTAAAATAACTAGTTCATGGCTGCCAACTGTCCAGAATTTTTCGGATTTGTTCCTAATTTTTAAATCGAATCTGAAATTCTGATATTTTATTTAAAAAATCCGAATTTTCGTAGAATTGCAGTATTTTTGCTTTTAAACCAATACTTTGTTCTGGTCGTCGCAATCGCGCTTCCTGTGATTATTGTGCAGAAGTAATTTGTAGTAGCTTTTTATTGAAAAATACTATTCCAATAGCTGTTGCTGATCATTTCACTAAACTAATAGATCATTTCACAATTGAATCTTAAACAACTAGTATTATTATTTTTAAAAAAAATGTATTGTAGTATTGAAACATTTTCATTAGAAATATTTGTTTATGATGTAGTTTAATATTTACATGTGTTTTATAATTTGGAAAAGAATAATTATATATTAATAGGTAGTGGTTGTTTTTTTTAACTATTATACCGGTATTTCTAATTATCAAATATTAATATTATAAATTTCCAACAAAAGATAGTGTTTATAATTTTTTTTACTAATTTACATAAGGTATTTAAATATATCTATTAATGTTATTATTTAATAGTTAAATTTTTATTTTACTCTTGTAATGGGTGCGTATAATTTTGTCGCATGTAGTGTTCCTAATTTTTGATTCCTAAGGTAGGCGGTTATGCTAGTTAAAAAAAATTCCTAACTCTCAGATCCCCTACTCCTGTGAACTTATCACAAAACCCTAGGGTCAGGCCGCATACCATTCGGGAACTGCTGATCTATAATTTAGAAACTGCGACAGAATTTGACTAGAAATCTCAGAGGCGCCTATCAGCCAGTCTGCCTTTTTTTAGATTGTTGCGAGTTCTATAACCCTAAGGTATCCAAGTAACTTTTTTCCCCTATTTCTTTGACGAGGTTAGTAAAATTTGTTTTGTTACCTTGTGTCAAAATTAAAGAAAGAATTAAATTTTTATGAATATTGGAACAAAATTGGAATTTTTTGGATTTATCTATAACCTGTCAATTGCTGCTTTAATTTACCCAAAGAGTAAAATGCATAAAAATCATTTTCCATATATATATATTTTATTAAATTAAATAGTTATAGTTAAAACAGATAAAGAATAATTAAAATTTTTATTTGTTTTTGAAGCATCTTCTGCCAAGACTGAGTTTGTGCCATATTTTCAACCTGTGATGGAACATCTTCAGAGGTTCATTGCTGACAAACATACTGAAGAAACAAGACCCCTTCAAATACAAGCTATAGGTATAATTTTCTGTCTTTTTACTTAATGGAAAGAGCAATAATTGTTTTAAAACATAATTATTCTTCTGCTATTCTAAGGTTTTCTGTTTGTTTTTTTCCAACAATTATTCTTCAAATTTTAATTTTCCTTTGTGAATTAATGTTATTAAAAAATTCAGATTTCAAAAATCATGTTGACTTGGTAACTTGGAAAAGCAATTCAAATCCTCTCAAATTTACAATGTGTTCACCACTAATAGAGCATATCAAGAAGGTATCTGAGGTGCCATTTATTAAGATTTAATAGTCAAGATTACGATCCTATGGTTGAGTAATAAAACTTTTAGTTGTGAATTTCTTTAATTATCTGGAATGAAATGAAATTTTTGTATGCACACATATACATATATATATATAAAGTACAAAACCCGTTATCCGGAATTCAGAAAACCAAAAAACCGGAAAATTTTTCCGCCATTTTTTTTTTTAAAAAAAAATTATTTTTTTTCCTCATAAGATTTTAGGATTTTTTTTTTTTTTTTTTGAAAGATGTTTACCTTACCATCAGTTTGGAAATAATCATTAGTGTATTACTTCATCGTTTTTTCTTCTTTTTAAGATTATTTCCAAAATTATTTTTTTTTAGTTGGGATTAACAATAAAAAAAACGGCTTTTTGTAGCGATTCAGAAAACCGGAAAAATCAGTTATCCGGAATAGCGATGGTCCCGATCGTTCCGGATAATCGGTTCCCTACTGTATATATTTTACACAGAAAATTCTGAATTGTAGAAAAGAAAATTAAAACTTTTTTAGTTTGTATGTTGTTAAAATTAAAACTAATTTTTAGCAAACAAGTTTTTTTCTTTAAAGTTTGAATTGCTATCTATTTAATTCGTAAATAATTTTTTAACAAATTCATTTTCAAACCACATTACTTTTTTAAACAAAAAATTTCAATAATTCCTAAAAAATATTTGGATTTAGTGATCCATTGTTTATATTACTGGATCTGCAGACGATTCACAATAGCAGGGTTTGACTGTTTTGAAAGTGTTTGTGTTTCTAATGCTCATTATTTATTTATTTTCTTGTTTAGATACTCTGGCTATTATTGCTAGATCAGTTGGGGCTGAAACTTTTAAACCCGTGGCACATGAATGTGTCAAATGTGCCATTCATCTTATGATGGAGGTTGACGATCCAGATGTTCGCAGATCATGGTAATTAAATTCATCTTCCTTTCTATATCCTTTCAAATAAAAAAAATCATCATATATATTTGAACAAAAATATAGTTTATTTTAAAGTTGTAAATGACTGCCATGAAACATTAAGTGAGTATGCATAAAACAAAAAAACATATAGCTGCCAAATCTACTGGATTTTCCAGTAGACTACTGGATTCAGCCAGTTTCACCTGGTCTACTGGTTTAGTAAAAATTCTCCTGGTTTTTGTACATTTTAGAATATTTCCTAAAATTGAATAGGTTTCTGAAAGAAAAAAAAAATCCTTATTGAAATAGATTATTGCTTACCTAAATATTTAAATAAACATTACTAATACATAATGAAGGATGCCACATTTAGAGAAATCAATTTGAAACTTTCGTTCAATTTATTTTTATTTAGAACTTCCTTTTTAAGTTAATTAAAAAAAATCTTCTAACTGTCTTTGAATTAAATGCCTTTTACTATTCTAAATTATGAGTGAACATAATATATAACATTATAAGTATATTTAAATCATAACTGGAAAATATTGCAGTTTTTCCATTTTGATTACAATAAAGATCCCTAAAACTCCCTATGTGTAAAATATTTAATACATTATGCAACAATTATCATGAAATTTATAATATTTTGTATAATCTACTAGATTTTTTCCTATCCATGCTGGCAGTTATGATAAAAAGATGATGATTAGACAAAAATTAATAAGTAAAATAAATAAAGTTAACAGTTTATTTTTCCATTACAACCTTCTGTTTGTTGCCACTTTGAAGGTGTGTAATTAATTTTAATTATAGAAAATATTGTAGGAACAAATGAATTATGTTTTAAGCTTTGTGTAGTATATTTTTCATTCGAATATCAATCATGTTACGTTTAAATTATGCCAATTAAGAAAATAATTTTTTTTTTTTAGATTTTCAAATACTTGAGAGTATATTACTTTGTTTAAAAATAACTCACCTTATCTTTCGACAATAATTTTGATCAGTTTTATCAAAAGATTAAATTTTTTAATTTATAAAAATATTCTAATACTAATTTAATTTCATTTAGTATTTTCATTTGTAACTTTAATTCATTTTTTATATTAGTTAAACTTTTAATGCCACTTACTAATGAATATTTTTATTTTTAATTAATCTTCATTGTTAACAGTTAATTTTTTTACTTTTTAATATTATCAATATCTTGTGTTACTCATACATATTTTTATTTTGCAGTTACACTTTAATCTCTTCTGTTTCATGTGTTCTCCATGAAGAAATGGCTCCTTACTTACCTACAGTAATAGAGCGCATGATTACCACTTTAAAATCAAATGAGGAAATAAGTGTGACTGTGAGTATTTTTTCTGAAGATGTGCATTCTTTAAATTTGCTTGTTACTTTTAGTGTTTTGTTACATTTTTTTAGTAATATAAGAGAACCTTGACCAATCATTTCTCAAGGGACCATTCACTACAAAAGATGGATATGAGTCATCATAAAATATCAAATAGCGACTTGAAAGTGTTTGAAAAGTAATTAAGATATGAAAATGAAAATTAATAAATTTACTATAAGTATTAATAAAAATTTAATAAATAAAATTACATGCTTAGTGCATAAATTTTTACATAAAGAAAGATAAATAAATACATTTTTTTATTTGAGAATTTTGGTTTGAACACAATACTTTCCTCTCAAGGCAAATAATAAGTCTGTGACAATTGTAACAGATTATTCTTCATTTTCTGTAAGTTCAATCAAAGCTCTTCATCAGCTTTTTCTTCAGCTCCTGCTGCCATTTTTTGAATCTCTACTACTCCACAAGCAAGTCCTGAGGACTGAAATCTGTCTGGAGAAAAAATCAATGGACTAAATTCCATCAATTAAACTTTCTTTTCTTATTTGAAACATAAAAAAAAAAAACAATAAAAATTCTTTTTTTAAAAACTAATATGACAAAATGATTTAGTAATGATGTCGCACTGCAATGAAAGAATGGTTTCAATACTTTTATTTATCTTCCTTTTGTTAGCCACACTATATCTTATTCTTAAAGTCCTGACAAATAGGATTGATTACACTTAAACCTGGCTTGTGTAACAAACTTCGTACTAATGCTGAATTTAAATTGCTTGAGTTAGCATTTTCTCTCCAACCTATTGAAATGCTGGCAAAAGTTTAATCAAGATTATTAAAAGAAAAAAAAGATTATAGTGCTAGAACAAAAAATAAGTAATGGTGAAGTGAAAAATAGATATGAATGGTTTCAAGGAAAGTTGCTCGTTCAGTGATCTATGCAAGGTTAGCTCATGTTTTCATTTTGTTTGCTGAAAAAAGAAAGAAAAGAACACACTAAATAAAGAGAGAGAAATTTTGTAAAGCAAATAGACAAATGATTGATTTAATATGTAGGCTTATATCAAGGAAAAGTAAATTTTGGTGTCAGTGTGGACTCGTACATATACATCAAACCAGCTGTTTGAAGCTTCCCTCCCCAGCTAGTTTTAAATATAATGTAAATTGGTTTTATCAACATAAGAAAATCATTTAACACAGGACTGTCAAAATGAGATCATGCGCACAAAGAAACGGTTTGTGAACAATGGTTTGTGGGATTGTAGAACAATGGTTTGATGTTCTACTGTATCTATTATTTCTCTTAGCAATCTTTGAAAGGTTCTACAATCAAAATAATTTGCCTAACTTGCTATAAAAACTTATTTAAATATTACTAATCTAATAATTTTTATTTAAATAATATTCTTTTTTAAATATTATTCTTATTTGTCTATATAATTTTTTATTATAGATTATTATTTGTTTCAGTTTATTGTTATTTGCAATAAATAAATTTTTTTTCTTTATCAGACTGATTATGACAAAAACAATGCTTTTACATTGTTTGAGGATGGAGAGGAAGAAGAGACTGAAAATGGTGATATGAGTGATACAAATTTGGAAAATCTTGAAGGTGATGACGAAGAAGATGATGATATCACTGGGTAGGAAGAAATTACTTTTTTAATGAATTTATATCACTACTTTCCAAGTAGTTTTTAGTGTTTAAAACTTTTTATATTTTTGCTTTTAAGCACTAACAATAAATTAAATATAACAAATTAATCTTACAATGAAATTACTAGTTTTTTTTATAAATAGCTTATAAGTTAAATTATGTGTATAAAATTAATTAAGGCTGATGTTATTATATTTTCAATATTATTTGCAGGTACAGTGTAGAAAATTCATATGTAGATGAGAAGGAAAGTGTTTGTGTTGCCTTAAAAGAGATCAGTGCTGAATTAAAGTAAGTTGTTTGATTAACTATTAAAATAGGTTTATTTTTTTTTTAAGGAATTTGTTACCTTTAAATTGTGAATTAATATAATGGTAATTAGTAATTTTTCAATCATTTTTGTAATAGCAACCTGGAATTTTCTACTTATTTATTTGCTGAGAACTAAAAATTCTTCTAAATGTTAACAAATCTGAAATTACAGGAAGTTTTGAAGAAGTATTCTTGCAATTTTATGAGCAAATATTTGCTTAATGATTGTGAACTGATTAAATTAAGGAACAATGGCATAACCGAGTATTAATCAAACTTTAAAAAAGACTAAACATTTGATATGGGGCCATTAAAATATGAATTTTCAAAAAGTATCTCAAAATAATATGGAATAAATTTTGAGCTTATGATGCATTTTTAGGAGTTAATAAGTTAAACAGATACAGATTTAGAATTGCAAGCTCTTAATTATATTTTGATATCCATTAAAAGTATAAAAAATGGAATTAACCAAAAATGAAGACCAAAATTCAAATGCAATAAGTCAAAATGGAAAAGCACTAAAAGCAGCATGAAACTAAAATTGTACACAATTTCAATAAATATTGGATGAAATAGAAATTAAACAAAACCCAAATGAAATTTCAAAAATGGCACGTGAGCAGAAACAGTACTACTTCAGGGTCCACACTGCCCTGCTAACATGCTGGAGCCTTTCTGTAGTCGGTGGTTCAATCAAAAACTGTGTCCCGAGGCCTCATGTAGTGCAAAATAAGAATAATAACACAATACCTCAAAAATTCAAAGATAAATCCAGAAAAACACAATTATATTTAGAAAATACATAATCCAACTGACTACAGAAAGGCTCCAGCATGTTAGCAGGGCAGTATGTCCCATGAAGTACTGTTTTTGTTGACATGCTTTTATTTATTTAATTTTGTTTGGTTTGTATTTAAGTTCTCCAATTATATTTAGATACTTCATAGTTATTTTTCTTTAAAAACAATGTTACATGGTAGAACAGATGAGACAGGCCATAAGTTAAAATCACCTATAAATGATATCCACTATCCATTGAAATCTGAATATTTTTAAAGCTGATTTTCAAAACTAACTTCTATGTATAAATTGTACTAAGTTTTTATTTTATTTTACATATAAGGTTAGTCAAAATTGATAATTATGTATAGTTGTATGTATATTTTCATTTGATTTAAAACACATGCTTTGTTTCTGTTTAAAAATTGTTTAATGAGGATTCCCCTTAGCTATTTCTTAGGAGATAATTTTATATATTTCATAGTACATATTTTCATTTGTAAAGCAAAATTTAACTAAATTGAGCATGAACCACATCCAATCAATTATACCTTATTTTTTGCTTATAATAAATGAAAATCCTGCTAATATTTCAATTGTTAAAAAATAGATTTATTTTAAAATATGATTTAGTTTTAATCTAATCTATTAAAGCAGATGCACATGCAGAACTCAATCAGTTGATTATGGTGATTGGTATTTTGGATTTATGAAAAAGCACAAATTGAAAGATTGTGTTGGTTGAGTACTATTTGTTATATATCGTGTTGTAACTACTTTTTAAAACATTTATGTGTTTGAAAAAATATTTTTTTCTTAATTTCGAATGATTTTTTTTCTTCTAAATTGTAAAAATATTTTAAGGAGTCTTGTTTTCAGTTAATTTTTACTTTTTCAGAGGACAATTTTTAACATATCTTGAAGCTTGTTATGAAGAAGTAAAGAAACTTGTTGAACATTTGTCTGATGATCTTCGAAGAACTGCCATTGCTGCTATGGGGCAGTTTTGTATTACTTTAAACGACATTCATGTTGAAACTTCAAATTTGGAGTGCAGAGTTGGTGAGTAATTAACCAACTGGATATGCTAATTTATTTTTATGTTAATTATCAAATGTCATGAAGGGGAAAGATTTATAAATGCCAGTTTGCTTCTATTTTATGCAGAACTGCATTGTAAAACTGTAAGAGTTATTCTTTGTAATGAAATTAAATTTTAAAAAAAAAATATTTAAAAACCACAAATTGTAAAAATTGTATTTAAAAAATAAATAATTTTCTGTGTAAAATTTTGAACCTCAAGCAACCTTTTGATTGTGTTAACAGTTGGGGGAATATACATAGGATGAAAAATTGTCAAACATAGGGCAAACCTATCGATCACTCAAACATCCGCTCAAAGAACATCAAGGCTATGTTAAGAACTTCACTGTTCACCCATTGTGAAACTATTTCTTGACAGAAGCCCATAGATACTATTTTTCTTGATATAATATCTTCCATAAATGTGTTTCAGTTGTTGACCTGGACTATTGGGAGAGCTACTACATCATTTAAAAAAAAAAAGCTCTTGTTAATGACCTTGCTGCTGTACCATTTTTGGAAATCATTAATTTTGAATTTTTTGTCTCCATATATAACTATTTTAACTATATATTTATCTCTTTGATATGACTCAACCTCTTGTCTGATTTTAATCATCTCTTACCGTTCCTGTATTTTATCTTAGTGATGGTGTACCAATATAGCACTGAAGCAGTACTTCATTGAAATTCAGTATTTGTTCAAATATTTTTCGTAAATTTTTAAAATTGTAATTCTAAATGCAATTTTTGGGGACAATTTTAAGCACTATGAACAGATTATAATTTTCAGATTTTTTATGTCGTATTTTTTTTTTNTTTTTTTTTTTTTTTTTTTTTTTTTTTTTTTTTTTTTAATATTCTACCATTTTAATTAGTGAACATTTTTTTTTCCCACCAATGTCTTTGCTATTCTGAGACAAACTGTTTTTTTTTTTTGTGTGTGTGTGTATGAGGAAGAGCTTATTTATTTGTTTAGTAATTCAAAACAAAATTGTTTTTTAATTTTCTAAACTTTAATTCTTTATACAATAAAATATTGTTAAGCTTATTTATATTTTTTAAATGTATTTTCTGAAACTTGGTTTAAATGCCAACCTAATCAGATTTGTATTTAAGAAAATTTCCTATGTCAGAGAAAGCTCTGGTTTTATGAAAATTTTTTTACTACAATCAGTTTTTCTCAAAAATTTAATGAAGTTTTACTGAGAATTTTCTATCACTGAAACAATCCAAAAATATTTAATTTCTATCTTTGTGAAATATTTTTACCTATGTTATAATTATCTAAAATTTATCTTTCTATTTAAAATTATGAATTAATGTTTTTAAAAGAACTTTTCTTAGTTTGATATAGTTTTTTATTTCTTTTTAATAATAATCGAGAAAATTTCAGTATCTTGTAAGGACAATATTTTAAATGTTGCTCAATACTCATAATAAAAGCTTTCACTCTTGATAAGAGCTTTCATTAGGTTGTAAGATCTATTTTTTTTTCTGTATCTTGTTGCAAACTAAATAATTGTACTGTTATATGTTAAAATCTCTGCCTATGACAAAATTACATGCTAATTTCAAAGTCAAAAATTTTTGTTCTACTTTTAGCGCTGGAGAAGTATCTTAACATGTTGTTTCCTAAACTTTTTTCTCTTGCTCGAGAAGATACCGAAAATGGTGTTGTACTTGCTTGTTTAGAGACACTACAAAATGTTATTGACAATATTAAACAGCCGGCCATATATGGTGGGAATTTGGAATCTATCTGTTTGCTGATTAGGGATGTTTTTCAAAATAAGGTACTTATTATATCACTATGCGTAAATAACTTATAAATGTTTAATGCAATAAACATTTATTTAGATATTTAAACTTTTCCACTAATGTAAATGCACCTCTATATTTTTTACTTTATAAATTGAGTACATAACTAGGAAATTTTTCACATTATTGCACTTTAAAGCTTTCTCTTAAAAGATGTTAAATTTCCATTGAAAAAGTATCACTATATTGAACTATCACTATGTAAATATATTTTTTTTAATGTATAATTGTATCAGTATATTTTATTTCTTGCTAAAAATATTTATAAGTGGGCTATTAAATCTTAAACAAACATCTAAGGAATGACTTGATAAAAAAAAATTTTAAACGCCAGAAGTATTGCATCTTAAACCAGTTTAATATTTCTTTATTACTTTAATGAGCATGCATGATAAAATTGTTATTGAATGTTTTCATTAAATTGGAAAAAAAATATAAGAATAAATTAATTTTGTTTTCAGCTAGCTTGTCAAGATGAAGCAGATGGGGATGAAGATGATCAAGAAGCAGAATATGACGGTCTTATATTAGAATATGCCGGTGAATTAATTGCTTCTCTAATTAAAGTTACTCCTTGGGCACAGTTTGCTCCTTATTTTGCTGGTTTGATGCCTTTCCTCATTAACAAATCAGTATGTGTATTCTTTTAATCATGTTTTATTCTTCCTTATTAACAGAAAATACATATATTTTGTAGAATTTCTTGATTATGAATTTATAATAAGATTAAATTCATGTAAATGTGCCAATATAAAGTAATTTTACTATTGCTAAATAGGCTTATCTTTTTTAACGTATAATGATACTTTTTTAAATTTGTTCCTGTCTGGTTTCTTATTACTAAATATATTATATGATTAACTTCCATTATTTTTCTTATTTACATATCATATTTGACTGTCATAATCAATTAATTTAATTTGATATCGAAAACAATTAAGTATAGTATTTGCTTTCTCAAAACATAAAATATGAATTTAAAAAGCATTAATTTGGTTATGCATTTTTAAAATTAAATATGCATATTTATACTTTTCATTCTTATTTTTGAACTATATATTCTTGAGAATTTTAAAAATATATTTACATCCTAATTTAATATCAACTCTTTTTTGTAGAAAAAAGCTTGCACAGTGTCTGAAAAATCTTTTTCTACTGGTACGCTAGCAGACATAGTGAGCAATATGGAGGCTCGGACAGTTAAGCCTTTCATAAGTCATTTGCAACCAGTTTTTCTTGGTGGAATGAGGGATGAAAATGAAGAGGTTCGAAGCAATTCTGTTTATGGACTAGGTGTGCTGGCTGAAAATGCTAAAGAATTGGTTTTTGAGTATCCTTTATCAATACAAATCTTATTATTTTCGGAAATTAATTTCGAATCAAACAAATTATAAAATAATGTTTTTAATATGGCATAATATGTTCAAAAACTGCTTATAGTTGCTATCTAACTTTCATAAAATGCCTTTGGGATGAATTACGATTCCATAGCCATTTGTCTGGAAATTTGACACCCTATCAAACTGCAGGATTTCAAAACCCGTTTTCAACTGTAATTTGCGCTTGCACGATTGAGAGTTTAAAAATAAGCTCTAATTTATTTTGGGGGTTGACCGTCATGAAGCGATATTCTTAAGCGCTTCTGAAGTGTTGTCAATTGGATGTTTGAGTTAGGAACTTCTGCCTAGAAAGTATTGACACATTAGTTTTTTTTTAATCCACTTTTGTTTCTTAACTTGCAGTATCTTGGATTTATTATTACATTGTTTTAATATTTCTGGTCATCCATTAATTATTAAGAACAAAACGTTTTTGTATGGTCCGCTATGTTCATTTGATAAATATTAAAGAAACAATTTTTTTATAATTGAAGAAATTCTGATTCCACAGAGGTTTGGTATCATTTGTAAGGTTTGTGTGTGTAATCACATTTGAGTTTGTTAAAGGAAGTCTACTTTTGTAAACAAAAGCAGAGTATAGTTTTTAATTGAACATACCATTATTTATTACTAAAAGCAAAGGATTATTTAAAGAAGCAGATAGAAGCTTTCTCTTTTTGCAAGTGAAAAATTTTTGTTTTGAGTTTTTTTGTTCTGTCTTTCTATCTTTTCACGTTCACAATAAATTTTGTATTCAATAAATTACTTCTTTTAATTTTTTTTTTAAGTTAAGATTTTTTTTTTTTAATTCAATTTTTCTCATTATAACCTGCCTTGTCTGAAGTTAAAATATTTATGTTATCGATTCTTCTAATTATACTTTCCATTTGGTAGTTTTTAAGTGTTGTTTTTAATTTGATTAATAAGTTTCCTTGTATTTTATCACTAATTTTTTTATATTAATTTGGGGATTTTAATAAATTTTTAGTTTTATAATTTGGTTTTATTTAATTTGTTGTAATTTAGCTTTACTCCAATTAAATGAATGAGATAAATTGACTTATATATTTGCTAGTTTTTGTTTGTGTTGATTTGGTATTTATCATTAAAATAATTTTTTAACTTATTAATAAACTTACATGAAATAAAAAGTGAGGTTAGACAGGCAAATCATTGGATTTACAAAGTTATTGCCCATGTACTACTATTGAGCACGTTTATTTGTACAGCTGTCAGTATTTTGTAGGATTAATTTCTCACAATTTTATCTTGGTGTTGCAATTTTCACAATCATTAGTGTATTTATTTAATTATTAACTATTTTAAGATTAATAAATGCAACCAATCTTCATTAAATTTCCCTTCCCTTCAACTCCGTGGTTGAAAGTAGTGCAGTGCAAATAGTAGCAAATATTAGTTTAAAGGAACTCTGCTCTAACACCACAAGTATTTCAAAATTGTACAACTCTTTGCAGGTCTGTCAGTAGATAATAGATGCAATGAAAATAACCCCGTGGCTGCAGTTGAGCCACACTAAAAATGCCATTTTAATTTCTTGGCCATTGATTATAAAGTGTATAAGTGTTTTATTTTTTTAAATATTAAAACAATTCATTATTTACTTATCTATACTTCACGATTTAATTTGTTAAGTAACTCTTGTTCTGCTTGTTATATGGAAAACAATGGTTTTTTTATCTACTTTCTCTATTTTTTTATACCTAATATAACTTTTGTCATTAAATGTATCTAGTATAGATCAAAAAAGTTTTTTTTCTTCCTGATTTGCTCATTCTCATCGTGCATTAGTTTTTACATCTGTGTATGCTTATATTTAACAATACATGGATAATTTGTACTTATTGTGCCTTTCTCTTTTTAATTTTTGTAAATTTTTCTATATTAAACTCTCACTTGCAGAAACAATATTCTTTAACTTTGCTTAGTCAGTACCCTACTTATTTGCAAGCTTTATCAAATATGATTGCGTCTGAAGAAGATCGTCGCACAAAAGACAATGTTTGTGGTGCTATAGCTCGATTAATTAAGACCAATCCTGAAGGTGTGCCTTTAGATCAGGTAAGACTATCTTTGATAAACATAATTGCTAGGAACTACAATATTAAATGTTCAAGAAGATAATTAAGAAAAAATATTTTAATAAAAAAGTAGGTTATTTACAGTAAGTGAGTGTTGCAATACAAGAGAAAAATATCTCTATTTTTATCAGTGATTGGTATAAAATGTCTAATGAAATAAAAAATTTAAAAAATGGGTTTTACAAGTGAATTGAGACTATATTTTTGTTACACCGAAACTGAATTATGTATGTATAGTTTTTGATGCGAAGAGAATATTGGTTGCGATATAAATTTATTATGGAAGGGGTGCGCCTCACGTTTTTCATTCTAGGTGTGACGATATAAATATTTCTTTTCTTATTAATCCTCTTGAAAAAATTTGTTAGTAAGATTTTTGTTTATTTTATTTACTTCTCTCCAGCTTTGTGATAGTCAGGTTATATTGTGAAGTGGTTTAAATTTTGAAGAAGAAGAAGGAAATATCTACATATATATATATATATATATATATATATGTATGTATGTATTTACAATTAAAAAACAATTGTAATTTATACTGTCAGCAGGCATGAATATCGGTGGAAAATGGAAATCCCTTGCTAGTCAGAAAGTGAACATTTTATCAACAGTCAATTCTATTTGAAGATAAATTCAGCTTGTGCAGTAAAGAAACAATCTTGTTTTGCCATCTAGCATAGAGCTCCAATTTAGATTTATTCATTCTAACTAGTTGGAAAGTGGTTAGAATTTTCGGTACTTTTCCATTTCATAGGCGCAAGTAAATTCAGCTATTTATTTATTACTCTTTAAAAATGGCAGTCACTTAAAATACTATTTGTTTATTAATTTTTTTTAAAAAAAAAAGTTTGATTTATTTGCTTCCAGTGATTTTGCGCGACTTAATCGCCTGCCCTAATGAAATGGAAAAGTGCTGAATTGAGGCTATACTGTGTCCGAATGGGTTTTATCGGTGTTATATTGTGTTGAGGGATCTATTGACTGAATTTTGAATTTAATTATATTTTAATGATTAAGAAACCTTTCTAAGCTTGCATTTTGTAAAGTACAATACTCCAGTAGACATTAAAAGTGTTCTTACTACTTGAAATTGGTAGAATTTTGATTGATAGATACCACGCACACAAAATCAAACTTATTTAAGTAGCTAAGGATCTGCTTTTTAAATTAATAAAAACATTCTTAATAGTAATAATTTACAGAAATTATATTTAGTGATTTTTCATCATTATTTTAATACAGTAGTATTATTGTAGTAACAATTGTTATTGTAGTACAACAACAATTAACACTACTTTACAGTAACAATTGCTTTCAAAGGTGTCTTTTTGTATTTCCCTTCATATTTACGACATGTTTTTATTTTCCTTATTTTGAGTTAATAATTATCTGCCTTGAATATGAATAAAAAAAATTAATATTACTTCGCCTTTAAAATATTCTAGATGACATGAAATAAAAGTACATGATTCATAAAATTAATTTTCTAAGGTTATTTCAAGGGGCTAACAAGAGTTCTTTGCCAATGCTTGAAAATGAATAGCTTTCTTTTCCATTTTGTTTCAAATTTTTTAAAGCTGGACTAAAATTTTTTTAAAACTGATTGCTCCCTATTTTGAAGGCTTACACAATAGAAAAGACCACAGATCCAAGATATGCTTGTTATAACAGAGTTTTATGAAGGCTGTTTAAATTTAAGTTAACAACTTATTCAAAAATTCTGCACTAAACCTGGAATCTTGTTAAATCAGGATTCGTAAATGACTGTACTGACTTAAATTTTCTATTGACTTAAATTATACAATGTAAATGTTCTGATTTAACTTTTGAGCCACTTGAATAAGTTGTGAATGTTTTTTCAACACTCATTTTATTAAATATTTGATGAAAACGTGTATTTTTTGCCCTTTACAAGGTATTTCCAGTATTTCTCCAGTACCTCCCTTTGAAAGAGGATCAGGAGGAAAATTCTACTGTTTTTGAGTGTCTAGTTTACTTGCACAGTATGCGTTACAAACAGGTAAATACTTATATTCTCATTATATTTAAAATTGAAATAATTTTTCTTTTTATTGTTTTATTATATTGTTTCAAATGTCTTAACTCCAGTTAAATTGCTTCTATACTATTCTACATTTAGAATTTTTTGCATTAAATTTACTAAAAATTAAGCATTCTGATTTTATTTACTAAATATATATCTATGTAATATAGACAGGGCTTCAAGTGCTGCGCACATTGCGCATTTTGCGCCAAATCGGTATATTTGCGCATTACTGCGCAGAAACGGCATTTTATGTTAAATTTGCGCCGAATCTGCGCCAAAAAATTTTCGGGGACCAACTAAACATTGCCAAATTTTAATAGCATAAGAAATTTTTTTTTCTCTTGTTGATTTCATCGTTATTGAAGTGCCATCGTCAATGGCAAGGTAATGGCCTTCTTGCGCTATTCTATTTATAGATTAGTACCATGATCTTTGAATTAACTAGGGGACCATCCACTAAGTACATATTTTCATGTTGATCCTCAGAACAGTCAAGAATCACAAAGCTTCATAACTTTAAACTTTCCATCTCCCTTTTATTCATTTCATTTAATAAAGATAAGAATTAATTGAGTTTCATAACGTAAATTTTTTATCTGAGGGACCACCCACTAATTGCATATTGTTTTTAAACAATTATTGGCAGTCACTTAAAATACTATTC